AGATGTGAGAAATCACATCGATTAGGAGGTGTTGCTGACAACTGAGGTCACCCATACATCTGGTGAGATCTATGACAAATGTAATTAGCTTCTTATATGTGGGAGTTTATATAACAAATGCCACAGAAAAGTCAAAAGCAATCAAACTGGATGTTCCTGAGTTCTGAAAAAGCAAATGAAAATGATGTTTGGTTGCAACAGGAGCTTATGAAAGCTCTGCAGGGTTACAGCACCACCTGGTGAGCAGCAGAAGCAAGAAGCTTTAGGGAAATTTTAGTCTTTTGACTTTTGAACCTTCCTTCTAGGTATCCTGACTTTTTTTGGAGGTTTAAAAATATTTTCTGAGAGGTTAATTTGCTATTCTTACTTGAAACACTGCAATTGCTCCATAATTTACATCAAATGATTGGAGCTTGAACATTTTACATGGCTAAGTGACTCCTAAAACTGGAGTTTACAGCATAAAAGTGCTATTTTAAAAAAGAAAATGCAGAGTAAAAGCACATTGAAGATACTAACAAAAGTGTTCTGCAGCAGCTTCGTCATTACTGTGTTTCTCTACGAGTTGTTTTTGGTGACAAAATAATGCAAAATGTATCAGCAAACACATTATAGCTCTGCCTAACAGGAAACTGGTAATCTGGCAGCTGTAGCATCTTTATAGCTCTGCAAACATTATGGTGGTAACAAAGATTAATGTGCAGATGCTGAAAAAAAAAATCACCAAATGTTGCACTCGCAGCCTGAACTGTGCAACTGTTCCAAGAACTAAATAAAAGATACAAAATAATTTTAAATGAGCTGGGCTCAACTTGTAGTGAGGGTGATTAACTAGATGCTAAGCAGGGGTGGTGATTATCCAGGTGTGAGAGCAGAACAGAAAATAATTCCTGCAGACACAAATAGGAATGAAAAAACTCCCCAAAATGTGTCATGGTCTGCGTCTGTGTCTCCCCTCATGTGTCTCCTATCGCCTTCATGTGTCCTTCTGGTTGTTTTATTGGCGGCTGGCAAACAACGAATAGTGCATTACCGCCACCAACAAGTGTGGAGTGTGGTCTGGAACAGCGCTCATAAGACAAAATCAAACAGGGGAAAGAATACATGTGTCATGGTCTGCGTCTGTGTCTCCCCTCATGTGTCTCCTATCGCCTTCATGTGTCCTTCTGGTTGTTTTATTGGCGGCTGGCAAACAACGAATAGTGCATTACCGCCACCAACAAGTGTGGTCTGGAACAGCGCTCATAAGACAAAATCAAACAGGGGAAAGAATACATACATACATACATACATACTGAAATAAAATCTGAAAACAGTCACTTTTTGAATTCTGTCTCAATAAATCAATAAGGTCTAGTTTCACTTTCATCTGACTAAGATTTTGAAATAATTTTCCTTCTTTCTGCCTGATATTTCTGACATTGTAATATAACATGATCTATAGTTTCTTCTTCTCCACAATAATCACATTACCCTGTATTATGTTTCCCTATTATAAATAATGTGTTTAACCCAGTATGTCCAAACCTTAGTCTAGAAATGATCACCTCCTCTCTCCTACTCCTTCCAGTGTTTCTCAGTTCTCCTACTCTTCTTTGAATTTTATACAACCATCTTCCCCTCCTTTCCTCCTCCCATTGTTTTTGCTATTTTTTCTTCATTTCTTGCCTTATTATGCTCTTTATCTCTTTTTGACAAAATTGAATATCTAACTGAACCGATGTATTTATTGTTGCTTCCTTAGCCATCTTATCGACTTCTTCATTTCCTCTGATTCCATAATGAGCTGGAATCCATAAAAAATGTATTTTAAGTCCCATCATGTTTATTCTATAAAGTGTTAGCTGAGTCTCCATGAGTATGTCTGGTCTGCTTTCTGAATGGCTGCACTTTAAACTGGTTAATGATGAGCTGGGGTCTGAACAAATAACTGAGAATAATGGTCTGTTTTCTTCCACCCATTGAACAGCTAACAGTATTGTGAGCATTTCTCCTGTGTATACAGATAATCCATCACTTACCCTTTTCGTTACTTTAACATGAATCTCAAGCGCCTTCATGTGTCCTTGTCTGCGTCTCTTTTATGTCTCTGTGTTCCTCGTGTGTCTCCTGTTTTGCAGCCCTCCAGATCATCTCTCCCAGGTCCTGTGTTCCTTCAGTCTTCCCCAGTCACCCCTTTGCAGTTTTTATAGTTTCAGCTTTTCATTTTATTAGTCTCTTTAGTGTGTTTTTTCCCACCGGTGTTTGTAGTTTTCCTTCCCCTTAGAATATTAGTTATGTTAGCTGCTCTTCTTGTCTTTAGGTTTTACTTTTAGGTCATGTTGGTTTCCTCCCTGATTAGTTAATTGCTTTCACCTGGTTTCTCTCCCCACACACCTGCAGCCCATCTGCCTCCCATCATGCCCCAGTGTACTTAACCCTGTCTGCGTCTCTGTGTGTTGTCGGTCCATTGTTTGGTGTCGGTGTTGTTTTTGTGCCTTGTCTCTAGGTTTTGTGCTCTATGTGAGCTTTCGTTCTCCTGGTATTCAGGACTTTGGTTTTTTGGCTTCCTGCCCTTTTGGATTTTTGTTTCTCATCCTAATAAAAAGGATTTTTCTTTTGAACCGCTCCTGCCTCGTGTCATCTGGTGTTTCCTGCATCTTGGGTCCTAAACTCCTCCTAACCTTCAACGTGACAAAATGTTGCAAGAATACAGAATTTGGGATGAATATTTCAAACTGATCAAAAACTAACAAAATCCATGAAAAAGGCACATAAAAGTAAAAATAAATACCATAATAATTTCTGAGAGTAAACCCCACAGGTCACAAATAAACTTATAATATTCCTGAATTATACTGGATGTCAAAATCCATCCAGTCTTGTAAATTTCAATATAAAAGACATGATAATGAGAGCACACCCTCCAAACAGTAGTTCACATCCATCATTCTGAAGTGTTCGTTGATTCTTTTGGATGCACAAATGAATATTAACAGACTAAACTGTCTTGCATAGAAAATGGCTGATTTTCCTTTTGAGTCTGTCTATACAACAGCCTTTTTAGGATTTATGGAGTCCAAATGTTTTGAATTCTCTGTGAAAATACAGATTTGACTTCCAAGCAAAGATGGCTGACCAGCTATCCAGTCGGGACAAGAAGTTTTCCTTCATAGAAAATATTTCTTACCAGAAGTCACTTTTAAAACTCTAATTATTTTATATTTACTGAATAATCATCAACCTTTTTAAAGTCCTAGAGTTGAAAGTGTTTGTCTTGAGAGAAGAACCTGCTGTCTGGTATATTTACACACACAAAAACCCCTCCAGTCTCAATTTTTCATTGTATTCCCCTGCAAGTGTCATATCTTTTCCACAACAAGGCCATCAAAAGGCACTTACTGTAGAACATCTGCACTTTTCATGCTTTGACAAGTCAAAATGTCTCCTGTGTGAATATACTAGAAACTTGAATTTTGTTGTGTTGTGGCTCACTTACAGCCATGGCCAAACATTTCCAAGGGTTTGCTGCTTCAGTATTTTCCTGTATTTTGTCGGATGTTTCTAGGAGTATCGGAGGATAATCAAAAGCATTTTGTAGATGTTGACGACTTTTTTACTTTTGACTGCTGCGTTAAGTTCATGCAGAGTTAATATTAGCAGTACTGTCTCTATAATTCACCCAGACATGATTAGTCTACTTCTGATACTGACTGATGGCAGTCAATTCTTCAATAACTAATTTTGGGAGTTTTCCAGAGTTTGTAGGTTATTGTTTGTCCACCTAACTCGAGGAGGTACCACATGTTCTGAATGTGATAAACTTCTGGGGAGATTCCTGGGCTTGGACTAAAGCTGGGCGATATGACCTAAAATCAATATCGCAATATATTGAGGATTTCACCTCGATAACAAAAAATGGACAATAACTACAGGTATGCGCAGAAACAAAAGTTGCCCACTAGATGGGGCTGTCACGTGTGTTACGTTGAGTTAAAATTTTACGTGACTCGAGGTGGTACAGCTTCTTAAAGGGGCATGAACGTTGCCAACCTACACACATCTTTTCATTTTTTATTATCACATTTATTGACACGGGGAAAATGATCTCGATAAGAGTCAAAAATTTCGATAATGATAGATTTTCGATTCATTGCCCAGCCTTAGCTTGGACCTAAAATTTTGATGTTTTGTTTGCTACTCCACTTAGTTTCTGTGTGACTTTAGCCTCATGGTTGGTCTAGAAATCTAGAGTCAGTTACCGAAGCAGAAGGATTTTGCTTTGCCACAAATGCATGGCTACACAGGTTAATAGCCGGTACATTATTTTTAAAGAACTGCATCTTAAGTTGCACAAAATAATGGCAGAGTACATGACAGGCAAAGTAGGTGAATTTCGGGGCCGCTGTGTCGTGCCTTTGCGTCTTGCAGCAACAATGTTTTATCGTAATTTGGTGTCAAATTGAAATCAGCCCCTGAAATTCCTTCATGGCGCTTATTATTTTCCTTTGCAGTCAATATGATAATCAAGGTCACCAGGAAAAATTAGGATAATTTTTGAATAATTTTAATAGCTTTTTTACGCGAAATGCTAGCAGTTACCATTCACTGACATTGTTTATGCTAAGCTAAAGCTAATGAAATACTGCCAGATTAGGAGAATGATTGGGCTGGTTACAAAGTGATTTTTCCTCATTCATCTAATGAGGAACATGGCAACATACTAAATTTCACTTTGGGCTGGAATATCCCTTTAAAGCAACCTACCATAATAAAAACTGAAGAAGCAAACTTTGTGTCAAATATTTGTAACAATAGACACCAATTTCGAAGTAGTTGAGTAAACAAGAATTACAAATGTATTTAAATGCTTATTAAATGGTTAACAATAAGAAAACATTGATTTAACTTCATTCTTCTTAAAAATTACTGTTGAAATAATAGAAAATAGCAGTTTCTCAACATTTTAAAGCATTCGATGTCCTAAGCATCTAAAGTGTTGACACAAAATAAACAAACTGTTAAGTTAGTAATATATCTTTATTTTTTATTGTCACGAAAATAACTGATATAACGTGTTACCGGAATGTCCTTGTCTACAAGTTGGAAATCTTTCATGAATAAAACACGTTTTCCTGTAAAACACCAAATTTTAAAAGTTCTCTATAAAGAAGATTGTTCTTTTCATTTTATGGCAAAACTACAATGATATATAAAATACACTTTACCACTTAACAGCAGGAGCTGATTTGCATTTAGCATAACTTTGCCATGATAGCTTTAACAGAACATCCTAGCGCTCACCGTCATTTATAGACTGCATTGAACAATGTACGATGAAGGTAAATCTGAGTGGGCCCTGAAGAGTTACAATGCATGAGGTTATGTTTCATTTTTACCCCTCAAAAGTGCGATTTTAGCTTTTGACAGTAATTGAGAGCAAGCCGTTTCTTATACAGAAAATATATATGTTAATTCTCCACGTTACCACGTTAAGACAATGTGTTTCGTACACAGTTATCCTCAAAAGTGCTTGTTGAAGTCTGAGCAGACTAGAAAACAAAATGTACAGTACATTGGCCACATGTTAGATGTGTTACTTATGAATACATTTAAAAAAATGAGATTTTATACACATTTCTATCCTTTAAAATCATATTAATAAAACAAATAATTTACCTTGTCGTCCCTTCTCATGTGGTTTAGGCCTTAACAGTCTTTAAAAACATGCTTCTATAGTCTTAAGACAACATCTGCATTCATTTGTTCCTTTTTTAACGGAAGCGCCACCAAAATAAAACATTAGCACTACCAGGGTGGTCCCCAGCAGCCACTTCAACACTTTTAGTAGCAGCTCTTGAAGGTTGAAACAGAAACACTTTGATAACAACAGTCTTGTTGGTTCGGCTCAGGATAAAGTGCAGTTCTCCTTTGGCCCTGAAATGGATGAAAAGCACTGGTCGGAGTCATTCATAGACCCCTGCCTCTGATCTCAGTGCAGCTTGATAAAACGCCTCCCGGCCCAGAAACTTGGACAGCAGTCTCTGCCCACGGGGAGACATGCAGCTCTGGCCAGGTGAATATCCTGCAGCGGCTTTAGCGGATCTAGAGGGTTTAGGTCTGGGAGCTGCGTAATACCCCTCCATGTGGTCATATTGTGTGGGCTTGACTTTAGTGCTTTGAGTCCGTCTGTTAAGCCGCGTTGAGAAGGACTCCAGATGTTCGGGATCCAGAGGAGATTTGGTGTGGTAGTGGTAGTGGTGCCTATGTTCTCTGGTGCTCTGTGACCGGCCCGGTCTCCTGAGGATACTGGGTTTCACACCACCAGAGTAGTTGTTGACAGCGTTGATTATCATCAATCGATCTTGGTCGTGACCTCGTGGATAGTAGCCGTCATTGTGCTCGAAGTTCTTTGGGACGGGGCAGCCTCTCTCTGGAAGGGATGGGACTTTGCGAAGCTGTTGCGAGGAGCCCTCTTTGATCTGGACGCGCCTCAGTTCTGCACCACAGAGGTGACCGCTCTGCTGCCGGGGGAGCTCCGGGTCAGCCTGCTGGGATCTTGAGAATGTCGGTGAGGTAACTGTGGCAGTTTGACTTTCTATCCTGTCGGCGGAGAGAAGGTTAGCATTTCCAGGGTCTGACTTGCTTCTTGTGTGCATCATATCTCTGCTTCTTGTATCGCTTGGTGAGACCGGACTCTCGCAGGGAGACACGTGTGTGGGTTTATGTCTGGATTTGCTCTCCTGCTTCACCGGTTGATGTACGACCCTCTCAAAAACGTCTGCATCTCTGGCCTCATAAACAACAGTGTCTCTGCTCTCTATGTACAGCTGTCTGTTCACCGGAGCGGCGTGGCGGGGGGAGTAGTTGTAATAATCTGACTGTCCACCTTCCCTTGCAGAGTGCACGGTGTAGGACTGATGGTGATGGATGCCACTTTGCCGGTAAGGGTCTATAAAATAATGAGAGGCATCTTCTGTGTTTACATCTGAATAGGGGTTGTACTGGTACTCAGCCCGGGTGTTCTCAAACTGTACTGGGTTGAGACCAGTCTTAATCAGCCTTTGATAGGGTGCCTCTTGGCTTGCTTTTAGCTTGACATAAAACATGGGGTCAGTTGGGAGGACCCCTGTGTTTGCCAATTCGTAGCGGCTAATCTGCGGAGCGTGGAAGGAGCGGGCACGACGTATCCCCGCATGCCCGCATGCCCCTCGATCTTCAGACCTCTGCCATCCTCCTTGTTGTCTGGGGAAGCCGCCGCCGATAAGGTGCTCGTTTTTATGGTAACGTCTGTATTGAGGCGATAACTGTTGCCTTAATCCTAAAGAGCTGCAACATCCCTCAGAGGCCTGCCTGTACAAGCCTTTAGCTCCAGAGAGGTGAGGTGGTAGGGCACTGGGCCGGGGGCAGTGAAGCGCAGCTGTTTGTCCTCCTTGAATCAGTCGATGCTGATGATTTTGGTGATAATTGTAGACGTCCTCGACCATGCCGTGCGGGCTGTCCTCTTCTGGGCTGTAGTGGTGACTTGAAGAGGTCCGTAACTGACGTGGACGGACTTCCTCAACGGAGACGGGCATCAAAGACTCTGCCAGGACAGAGCGGAAATTATAAACATCTACAGAGTCTGTGTTGGCGTACACGGGCGAGGCTGAGGGGCTTTTAGCTGAGCAGACAGGCTGAGAGGGCATTGAAACTCCAACGCTGTGATAAGCGTGCTCTTCTCTGTCGATGTCTCCCGCCTCGTTTTCCTCTCTGTGGTCCCTCCCTTCTGCACTGCCTTCATCCAGGCTCCCTGATCCAAGAGGGCTTACATTAGGAGTGAAGTTGCACGTGCTTTCCTGACCATCGGTGACCTCAGAGCAGAGGCGCGCAGGTAGGAAGTGAACAGGACGAGGGCAGCGGCAGATCTCAGTGGGGCTGTGCCCTGAAGAGTACTCCTGAGGATGCACATTGAGATCCAGAAGGAAGGGTCGTGGCAGTCTGTCGTGAGGTGCTTCTTGTCTCTGGAAGGGGTGCAGCGGGGCATTAGATCTTCTTTGGGAGGCAGTGCTGGACTTCTGGGCAGTTTCAGCTAGAGCCAAAGCTAGCTTGCGAGCGGCGCTCATCGAGGAGGGGTGTGGAGGGAGAACAGAGACTGAACTCATAAGTCTATCTGTTCCTGGGGAGGGATAAGACAAACAACGCTACAGTATGACAGGACAAACAAGGCTATGGTAAGACATGATGGGACAAAACACAAAAGCTTTCATAAGAAACTACAAAATGCATTAAAAGTTAGTTACTAACTAAACAGAATACAGTAATTATTGTGAGATGTCACGGAGAAGTGGCACTGACCTGGATCAGGCAGGTTCTGTGCCGAATGACTGTGGTCCGTCACGGCAGATGCCTGACTCGCTGTGCTGAGCGAGCTGCAGTGTTGAAAAAATGCTCTTGGCTCATCTCCATCTGCCACTGGAGCCTCGCGCACTTGGGAAGAGGAAGATGGCTCGGGGTGCAGAGAGGCAGATGCGGTCTGAACATCTGCCAGCGTTTTAAACGATTTCTTCCTCAGTTTGGGAGAGAGCTGCTTAGAGGAAGCCTTCTTCCCACTTCTACACACTGCTGGGCTGGCATCTGGAGAGTGGGAGCCTCTCATGTGGTTGTTGTTGGGGGAGCAGATGGGCTCCGTTTCGTTGGAACACCCTACGTTCTTCCTCCACTTGTTCCCGTCTTTGCCGTGTTGCAGGGCAGGAGTTGCTGATGCCGGGCTGCACTGGAAAGACATGGGGTCAAAGTCTAACGTAGAGATGCCTGCAGCCGGCGGAAAAAGGTCAAGATCATCCTCGGATTGGAAGGAGGAGAGACGGGCGGCGGCGCGAGCCCTTTGGGACTCATTTGGACTCTCAGTCAGTGGCTGGGCTGTGCTGGCGTGTTTCCTTCTGCTTCTGCTGTGCTGGTCGTCTTTGGAGATGCCAGAAACAGCTTCACTAGTGGAGCGAGGTCTGAGGGGACAGTAATTCGGAGGCTCCCCTGGAGTGGAAAGCAAAAACGTCTTTGGTACTTCAAAACATGCAAACGTAAGCCAATCAGAGTTCTTTTGAAGTTCATACAAATACCTTCTAAATTTTGCAAAGAGGTGAGAGATTCTTCACTTTTCGTGGAGCGCAGCGTGTCGTTATCTCCTCGGCCACCTGCAAAGTGTGTGAGCAAAGACTCTCTGTGAGTTACCCATCAACTACAGTTACAACGATGGAAGAGGTAGCACGTTTTTAAGTACGAGTGCAGGAGGTTTCCTGGCGAGCTGACCTGGCAGTGCGATGCTCTTTATCTCATTAGGTTCACTCGGGTGTCGCTTCAGCTTACGTTTGGACACAGAGTGAGACTTGCCTAGATGGAAAAAGGACAGCCAGTTCCCCACAGGAGACTTCTTAGACTTAACAGGAGGCCGCTTGCAGCTGCAGCACAGAGACACATCGGCTTTAAGGCTAACAAGTGTCCAAAAACAGACAAATATCAAGAAAATAAGGTGTTTTCATCGATAATTCGTTAAAAATTATAAGTCCTGACTCAATTTTGATTCTAAATCCTCCAGATTTTCAGGTATATATTCATAAAATCAGGCACAATAAAATGCAACAAGACAAAACTTTTCATTAAATCAAATGCACAAAGAAGGCTTGGACACTTCATATTTAGCTTCACTGAAAAACGATGCTTAGCGAGCAGACTAATGCATTTATGGAAACGTATGAAGGACAGCTGGGGCAGCTACCTTTCCAGTGGGAGTTCGATAACTGTGTGAAATTTGCCGAGGAGAGCTTCTGGTCCCTCCCCCACCTCGATGTAGTCACTGTGGGTGAGGCAGGGGGAGGTGGCTGGGGATAAGAGCTGAGTCTGAGTGCGAGCCTGCGCCTCCTCTAAAGACAGCAGCTTCGTGGACGGGGAGCAAACCATCAGAGACTTCGGTCTGGATAAGGTGCTGTTGCCTGAATTTGAGAACAGCTCGTTAGAAATGATTACTTTACACCAATTTTCATTTTTATTCTTAAACAAAAACATGACCCACCCGAGTTTTCTCTTAAGGCAGCACTGAGTTTGGGGCTGAAGAGCGGCTCAGTGTTGTTGAGAATAAATTCCACCACTACCGACTGGATGCGCACCTCCATGAAGGCCGCAGTGCCGCTGAAGCAGGCCGACTCGATCTGTCTGGACCTGAAACGGAGCACAGCACGACCTATTTCATGAATGTGGAACCGGCTGGGACACGTCCCAGTTCTCTGTCATGGAAACTCTAATGGTGCTGCGGCAGCGTTGGTCACCTGAGGAGGTTCGGCGCCCAGACAATAGCGAGGTTTTTAGTGTGCATGTTAGTGATGGAGCTGAAGGTGGCCAGGCGGGAGAGGTGCCTCATGAGGAACTCCAGTGTCCTGTGAATAAAAACAGATGCAGACATTTAATAATTGTTACTTTAGGAATGTTATAACATTCACATCCGCTGATTTTTCAAACCTAAAGGAGAGATTTATGTGATACAGGGTGTATCCAGCAGGGGGCAGCAGCGAGCTGTGAATCTGACCTGTAATGCGGAGGGGGAAGCTGCTGAATGACATCGTGGATTTTGAGCAGCCTCTCCTCATCTGTGGCTGCAGACACGGCCTCCTGTGAGGAAGCAGAGGACGAAGCACACGTCATCACGTGGCCAATAATCACAGCATCCCACTTCTTCTCTTTACTATCGAGAACAGTCGGGGGGTTCAGCCCACTCGATCTGCCGTTCGGTTTTAGCTGCCCATCCCCTGCAGTTCCTAGAAAGCTCCGCATCAAGCAATGACCTCATTTAGAGCCGCACTTTAAAATGAGATGACATTTTGAACACTTAATTCATTGCTTTTGGTTTCCACTGAGGTACTGGAAATAAAGTCCCTGCAGCTGTTTCCCCTCACAATACCTGACCCCGGCTCTGTTTCAGCTCCCAGGGCTATTTTTATGCCACCAGGCAAGAGTCTGAGCTCCGTCTCCATGTCTTACTGAGAATCGATCGTAGAGCTGGTAGGTGAGCAGAGGGTTGGGCAGCTCTCTGAAGTACAGCTTGCACAGGGAGCCCACCGAATGGATGTCCTGTCTAAAGACGTCTCTGCTCAGATCTGGGATCTGCTCGGAGTCGAACTCGTGCCTGAATGGAGAAAAGACAAAACAGGTTCATTCTAGACATCGTCTGCCACCATCTCTTAGTGATGTCCCATTCCAATTTCAATATCGGAAATAGGTTCGCTATCAGCCCAAAAACACTGTATCGGATTATATCGGACTGCATCAAAACTCTCCGATATAAGCAGTCCATTCCGCTTTAAAGTTCATTCTAGCAATTCCATCCAGCAGCGGCCAGATCCAGCATGCAAAACCCACACGATCAGAACAGTGCATGCTAGCAAAGTAGCAAGGAACAAGAGCAATGTCGGCCATGTGGCAGCATTTTTCATTAAAGTGTGAAAAAGACAGTTTGGTTCAGTGCCACACTTGTCATGCACACGTTTGTTGTAAGACCTAGGAAAGTTTGATACGTCAAACCTGACGTGATGCATTGCGGCACCACAAAACACTGCATGAGAATTTTTGCAGTGTGTGAAATTGAAACTTACGACACTCAACTTGCAGCAGTTTTTTTTATGTCCCTGCCCTCAGCTGTTCCTACCGTTTGCTGACAATAAAACATGAATGAAGTAACCTTGAATTAGTATTTTACACTTTAATAATAAATATTTTTGTTTATTTGTTTACTTAAAATCTTTTCTTTTAATTGATCATTGATAATTTTGTTCATTTGTTATACATTAAAGGGATTTTACGGACTTTTGAATTTTTATGCTCGTGATTGCCCCCTCAGGCCAAAAGCGTAACGGCAGCTTCAATAGGAGGCTCGTGCACGAGGCGCGCATGCTGTACGTGCACACTCCTTAACGGAAATAACAGCTGAGACAGTTCTGTGTGTGTGTGTGTGTGTGTGTGTGTGTGTGTGTGTGTGTGTGTGTGTGTGTGTGTGTGTGTGTGTGTGTGTGTGTGTGTGTGTGTGTGTGTGTGTGTGTGTGTGTGTGTGTGTGTGTGGCCCGGAGGACAGAGGACAGGAGAATGCACAGCTAATTAATGAAATAATTTGGTTCTGTGCCTTTCTCTTCAGCACAGCCGACAAAGGTTTATGATGGGTCTGTCCTCCTGCATGCTCAGATCATTCCCTTCCCTTGCTTGAAAAATTGTTCCAAAATGAAAGTTGAACCCACATCTTTTTTATCTGTGAGTTCAATGCCGTTTGGCGAGTCTCAAATAAAAATTTGGGCTGTAAAGAAATATACCATTAATGTAAAAAAGAAACTCTAAATGAACTATGTTCACATCCAGAATGGAACCCAGGACTTCTGCATGGGAATCAGACATCTTACAAGGTGAGCTTCACTCTAGTAACATTCACAGTATCTGTAACTTTTATATCCTTGATGACAGCTGAAACAATGTCAAACCAAAGAATGGTTCGGAGCGAAAATGGCTATTTTGTTGCTAATTTGCAGGAAATATCTAGAAAAAAGTTCTACAGAAAGTAGCTAAGGGTCCTCAGAAATGTAGCTAGGTTCATCACTAGGTGTTAGGAACAGCGACAAAGTCGCTGAGTTGGCACTACCTCACTCTCTGCTGCTAAAGCTACGGATAGCAAATGCTACGGGCTATGCCTGAACGTGAACGCGCATGAAGCAGCCTGCTCGACCCGAGCCGCTCTCTTTTTCTGTGATTTTACAGAAAAACAGGCAATCACAGTAAAAATGCCAGGGCTCATTCTACAGGACCAGGGCATTGCAGGAGAATGTATGAAGAAGACATTTATTATTTCTATACATGTTTTGGCTGTCAAACTTCCATAATGCCTCTTTAAGTTAAAGTTTTGCATTTATGCAACCAATGGTTGGTTTTTCATACTTACTGTTCCTGGCTTGGAGTAAAATCACTTGATCAAGCCTTTGATACATTCTAGGCTATGAAATAGGTAAAAATATATCGACTGATATCGGTATCGGTCAATACTGAAGGCAGCAATATCGGTATCGTAACGGAAGTCAAAAAGTTGTATCGGGACATCCTTACCATCTCAGCATTTCACCATGAATCATGTTTTTATGTGTTTGTAGAAGAACGAACCTGAGTTTCTGGATGTTGGAGGAGATCCCCGACAGTCTGTAGATTCCATCCACGACTCCGATCTTCTCAATGAATTCAGCACAGCTCTTCACCACCTGAGGGACTAAAGCAGACAGGATAAAGTCAGCAACACGTTTCATTTGGATGCATTTTATTAATTAGTAACAAGGAAAATAAATTAGGAATTTGAGCGCTTTGCTTGCATTTAATCCTTATCTTCCACAGCAGACAATGACATTTTTCAATTTTTCCATTAGTCATCACACACTAGCGGAATTACATGTCCGAATTTGACCCATCCCCGTGGGGAGCAGCAGCTGTGGCTGCGCTCGGGAACTACTTGGTGGTTTAGCCCCCCAGTCCAACCCCTCAAAGCTGAGTGTCACGCAGGGAGCCAGTGGGTCCTATTTTCAAAGTGTTTAGTTTGACCAGACCGATTTTCAACCCCGATTTCCCAGTCCTAGGGTGGACACTCTACCGCTAGACAACTGAGAAAAGCACACCAGAAACAACTTCACAATAAGGTAGCTAATAAATGATTTATAGAAATGTTATTAATCATTAATAAAATAATAATTGTAATAATTAAGGGTTGTAGAGAGAAAATGGTCTTGTTTCTTGCAAAATAGTGAGCCAAATCTGCTCTCTGTCTCAACATTAGTTAATGCACAATAAACACGTAAGTGCTGCACATTCATTAATAACGCAGCTATAAACTTTTTAGTCATTTATGAAGCCCTTATTGTAAGAAGGGACTGAAAATGCATAATGAACATTTAACATCCTACCTGTACTGTAACTCTGTGATGGAGCTAACTATTAACTTATCGATCATGTAATTACTTGTTTGTGTTTCTCCAAACTGAGGCACACATCAACACGATACAACACGTAAAATGCTTATTGCTTCTTTTGCAGACTTAAGGAAACCTGAGCAATTTAAAAAAAATTCATGTTAAAATACACAAATGTTCTGCAATTTTGAATTCCTTTTAGGTTATTTTATTTTCTCATTTGAATCGTCCATCGCTTCTGTTCGATCGCACACTATTTTTGAGATGATCGTGCGAAAATTGACCAAACTGTTCAACCAAATATGGACCCTAGAAATGACCAAAATGGGGTCAAAATCGCTACTTTAGTCTAAAATGGCCGACTTCCTGTTTGATATTGACCATGGGTGCAAGAGGCTTTTCTGTGCGTATTATTGAGTTCTCCAAGTGCACCAAATTTCATCACTCTACTATTTAAAAAAAAAAGTTTAAAGCGGAGGGGTATTTTTAATTTTCCAGGGGGCGCTGTCGAAAAGTTTTTTTTTACCAACTTTCACATCGCCTTTGAAGATCGTAAATTTCATGCACTTTCTATATTGGGCCAGAATTTGGTGAGTTTTTGGATATGCTAAGACCCCCCAAAAGCCATTCAAAGACGCGGAAGAAAAAAAAGAATAAACGGAGCAGATGCAATAGGCCTTCGCAGCTTCGCTGCTCGGGCCTAACTATTAGAAAATAATAACATTTAAGGTGATAATACTCACACTTTATTCAAATATCTTCATAATTTTATAATGTTTTTGCTTTAGTAATGATTATTTTCAGTTCTGTTCAGAGCATGCTTCAGTAAAATATATGAAAAATATAGAAAATTTGGAATGAACTATTGCTTTAACCAGTTTACACATTTGTATTTTTTTAAAATAACTTAACCCTTGGCAACTACGAGTCTTTTTAAATAGAATAAAAACACATATCTACAAAAATTTCTGAAGACATTTTCTGTAAATTAGACAAATCCAGCCTTTATGTTAAAGATCCACTTTACTCATAGTTTTAATACATTTGCAGTGGTCTCTGGTAAGAATGAATACCTTGTAAGTCAGACTCTGGGGAAAAATGCTCTGGTGTGCCTGTTTCAGGAAGTGAGCCGGATCAGAGTTGAGCTACAGATGACAGGATTTAGAGTCTTTATTCCTGATATTTGGACACAGGCAATGAAAATCTACCACCGACTTGCAATGTTGATGTTTTATTGCCAGAAATAACACGAGTCTGAAGGAGATCTGCCATTTTGCTGAGTTGCTAATGCTAATGGTTAGCTTCTGCTGGTCAAGACTCTGCTGTTTCCTGGCTGCTAAACTGCCTACCCCATCGTGAGCCAAGATGGGTGAGTCCATAAATGTAGTGAGACGTAGATCTGTCAGGCTTTTCTAATCCTAGAGTTTCACCGTCTATTTTCTATCAGCAGCTAATGCAGGAGATAAGTGTAGGAGACTATTCTCATGTTCGACCTGCACGAAAAACTCTAGAGTGACCGAATATGATCAGAAATAATAATTTAAAATGGTTTATCGGTGAACTTGACCTTTAATAAATAAGCAGTCACCATGTAACCATCAGGAAAGAGGAAATAAAACACAACAAATTCAACAATCTGCAGATTTTCCTCTCGTTGTTCAAAAGGACATGAAAGATTCTGCCACTTTACAAGTAAAACATTAACTACCTTTACATGGTGGAACCAAAAGAAGGAGAGCTTGGGAGAAAAGTTTTACCTTCGTGTCCCGAGTTGTGCAGATACTCCCCCAGGTCGCAGCCGAACACTCGTTCCCGAAGGATGCCGCGCTGTCGGAGCTTCTGCGGAGGTGGTCGAGACTTCATAAAGGACCTCAGGAACGTGACCAGCTTCCCGTGCTTCTTACACACTGAAAAAGATCCCACACAAAGACATCCAAACGGGCTCCAACTTTAGGGAGGCTTAGAATAAATCACTGAACACATTTGAACACTAAAGAGTACCTGGCTTTGGCACTGAGTTTTGAACACTGGGGGGAATCTTTTCATTTATGAGCTCAACACAGTCGCAGGGAAAGAAACCGACCTGGAAGACAAGAGAAGGGAAATACTCAGAGGATGCATGGATGTGATGACCAGTGTAGCAGGACGAAGGAGGCTAAAGGTGCAGAAATAGGTCAGGAAGCATGGCGGCGTGAGTTGTCTCAGCCTTAAAACAGCTAGTTAGAAAGATTAAGTCATGAATTGTTAGATGTCTGCTTTTTAGAAGATCTACCTGAAAGCCGTGCTTCCCTCTCCACCACCCCGTGTCCTCCTTAGGAGGCATGTCGATCACTGACACAATGTCACCAACCTGAATCGGAGCAATGAAGATGAAGCATCTCAACGGAACAAAACCAAACCCACTTCAAAAGAAAAGAAAAATGATAAAAGGACAAGCCTGTTATTTAAACTAATGCAAATACCTCAAAGGTTAGCTCGTCCGTGGCCTGAGCGGTGTAACGTTTAGTGACGTGGGCGGCAGCGATGGCGGGGACGTTGATGGACGCTTCTTCAGACACCAACAGATGATTCCCCTTGTTGTCGATCTAGAATGAAACACCGAGATTTGTTCCCTGATAAACCAGAAGCAGGGCTTTTTGGACCGTCGCGCTAAAATTCTTGTGAGGCAACAACTGACCTCCATCCAAGTTAACACTGGACCACAGTTGATCTTGTTGTCCGCAATGGCAGAGAAGCGGGACAGGTAGTTTGTCAGCATTGTGGAGACTGACTGAAAAGAGACACGAGTAAAAGACAGCGCCGCATAAACGATAATCTATATTTATCACTAGAATAGGTGTGAGTGGTGGAGCAGCTTCAGGTCTGCGGTACCTCAGTCGTATCCTTCAATGTGTCGAATCGTGGAATCTCGCTGAGTTGGGAGTAACGGCGGTCATAGATACACAAGTGCAGGTGTTTGTCAAGCACCCGGAAGTCTTCATAAGATCGCTTCACCAGCCAGTTTCGACTCTGAAAAAAAATTAGATAGAAAGAAAAAAAATACAAGTGAGTGAGACAAAGGAGTGTATGTTCTTGATGATCCAGCGAAGCAGAGAAATCATCTTTAGGACACATCTTGTAAGAAGGACTGAAAGTGGAGGACGTTTAACGGTTGTTTCTGACAGGACCACTTTAGCTGTGACACACACTGAGCCCGATCGCTGCCGTGTGCTGTTGACACAAAGTAAGCAGAGCTAAAGATGCGTCACCTTGATGATTATCTTACTTCACTTCATCATGAGTTACATCACACAACTGCAACCACGTGTTAGCATTAGCCTGTTAGCATAACACAGCTAATGCTAATTCTAGTTGCTATTTAGTCAAAACATAGAGCCTAATGTAGAAAATGGAGCTGTTTTTACAGATAAATTGTGTGGGTGCATCGTTTAAATAATTTCTATTGTTAAAAATATATGCTAATTTAAAAAAATATATATATATGATTTCACAGAAAAGTTTTAAAAAGCATGATATCTCTGTTGCCAAATTGCCAGCTTATGCAGAGCACACTAACAGAATGCATATCTGACCCAAAATATGTTACCTGGCAAGTGATCTGGACGATAAAGACGAGTTCTTTAGAGTCCAAACCGGCCTTTGGTCCTTCACTCTGCCCTTCTGCAAAGGCCAACTATGGAAAAAAAATAAGACAGCAGACTGAAGTTTGAGTCTATTTTTAGCCGCTAAATGAAAACAGCGATTTTAAAGATTATTTATAAAGATAAATAAAAGTGACTTTCCTGGAATCTGAGAAATAAAAAAAGAAAACACCAACTCAGATCTGGTCTCTTCAGCAAAAATCCTGCCGTATTAAAGAACAGACAAAGCTGGTTGGAATTTATGACATCTCGGTTTTGTTGCAGTTGTTTGGGGAATTTTTGTGATAGACATGAAGGCAGAATTGACTTCAAAGGCCTCCGAGCCGAGGGAAGTTCTAGTTATTTATAACTGTTAGCAACTCATCCAGATATACTGTTATACAACGAGCAGCGACCTAGTTACTGCGCTAAAATAATACAGCTAACCATATTTTATTTTTTAGATGATGGAATAGCTATTGTTTACAGCCGTTTAACAAAAAGGCCAAATTAGAACGTGCATTGGCTCAAGAGGTCAGGGAGATTAACGAGAGGGATCTCTGAGGTTTAAAAATAAACAGCATCAATTAAAATCATATCTGTGCAACTTTCCCCCTGAGCTGGGCATCGTCCTCTTTGTGATGCTCAAACCTTCTTTAAAACAAACAAACATGCAAACAGAGATCTGAAACATTTGCACAAAAATGAAACCATCTTCTCTGCTCACACACATCTGTGACTGTAGCACCAAACCATCCTGTTACCTCCCTCTAGGGCATCTCAGATATCCATCTGCAGATGAGGTAAGTGCTCTCTCTTTGTGTGCAGGACTGTAGTGGGATCCTCCAGCAAACCAAATCCAGGCTGAGGGTTGAAGAGTTTAAACTCCGCTTCGGACTTGTCTGATTTCTGTCGCCTGCCGCCTCATGCACAAAGCTTATTTACGGAGCTTTAGTCCATCACGCACCGATGCTTCATAATAACCAGAAAATATGAGTCAAGGATGCTTCCCTCTGTGTGTCTTACCCCCCTTCCTGCCTCCCTCTTTCATGCACTTCCCCCTCCTCCCTCTCCTGTACTCCATCCCCCTCCCCCTCCTCTCCTCCTTTCTCCAGTGACAAAAAAAGGGGTTTTGCCATTTTAAAGGGTTCAGCTGGCACAAGCAGAAGTATAAGCTCATCCGTCACACTCAGGAGCAAAACAGACAGATTCCCCTTCATCATTTCCAAACGGTCCTGAAACATCGTCTCATCTGAAGGCGAGACTCAAGTCTAGAGCTAATCTGGGGAGAAATCAGTCAGGCGGGCTGCAGACAGAGGCTGTCTGCTGCCCTTGTGTTGTTCTGCAGATGGGACACATGAGACCAGATCGCTCGCTGCCTTCCGCCCTTGCTGCTGCAGACCGTGAATGCAGAAATGTGTGACAAGAGAAATGAGAACAGAGACTCATCTCCTAGATTAAGACAAAAAAGTCCATGTTGCACAGCAGCATGGGCTCAGAGTGAACCTGTATCTTTACAGCTACACATTCAGTGTTAGCATATTATAATGCCTTTTTAAAACAATGTTATACTTTTGCTTCCTTGCACATGAATGAAGGAGAAAGAAGAGGGAATCGAGGGATTAAACCCTGTCCGGCCAGCTGCAAATGCAGCTCATAGTGCTATATGTAATCAGCATCACACACACTGTGTTGAACCTGCAGGTTGTGCCGAGATGAATGATGCACTCTGCTGGTGAGCAAACAGACCTGCACCATATTTACAGGGTATCCGCGGGTCCTCAAAAAGTCTTAAATTAGCTTTTCCAAATTTAAGGCCTTAAAAATCCTTAAAAATGACAAATAATACCTAAATACAGTTTCCAAAGGTCTTAAATTGTCAAAGACCCAATAAACAAGATTATTTTATTTTTATAAAATTTTCGTGAATTTCTAGTATCAGCATTTTGTGTGTGTGATGTTGGCGTAAGCAGAACCGTACACATTCAGTTGGTTGTGAAAGGGGGCTATTTTTACATGAGCACATTAGCTGGTTAAACTAGTGGGAGCTTACGCCATGGGGGAGTGCAAGTTTAATGGTAACTGATGGTTAATCCCAAGTTCGTGACGTGGTTAGCACCGGTTCCAGGCAATAGCTGTAAATTAAAGCTTAAATTTAATTTTAAAAATAGCTTGAATTTGGTCAAAGTGGCCTTAAAAAAGGTCTTAAAAAGTCTTAAATTTGGCTCCCTTAAACCTGCAGATACCCTGTATTTAAGCAAAACTGAAGAAAAAAAACATACATTAGCAAAGGCGTCTATAAATGTATACGATTATATTTTAGTTTTATTAATGATAATAATATGCAGCCTCTTTTGTTGGTATATCTGTATACTATTAACTAAAGCCTGTTACTGCAGGCTATTATATAGTTCCTAAAGTTAAAGTCCCATATAGTCATCATCACACACTGCTGAAATTCATCTCTGCATTGGACCCATCCCCATGGAGGGGGGGGGGGGGGGGGAGCTGCAGCGGTGGCTGCGCTCGGGAACTATTTGGTGGTTTAACCCACCGATCCAACCCCTTAAAGGTGAGTGTCAAGCAGGGAGACATTGGGTGCCATTTTTAAAGTCTTTGATGTCACCTGACCGGGCGAACATTCTACCACTAGGCTACCAACCCTAAACCTCGGGTGTTAGGTTTAGGGTTAGGTGTGGGTAATTGTCAGTTTTTAGCAGCAAAACAAACGGACCTCACTAACAGCAAAATGTTTTGAAAATAATAACATTATAGGAAATAATTTCATCCACTTCATGACAATTTGAAAAATAGTTACCATCTAAAAATATCAAGAAATGTAATTCCTTCTGCTCATCATTATGCTTTAAGATTAAAAGACACCTGAAGTACTTTACCAACCTAATCATATTAAAGTATATAGAAAAGTATGAAAAAAACTGAATTTTCATACAAAATTACAAAAGAACTGAAGCTAACATCAGTGCTATATTCAATACGTGTAAAATATCTGTGCAATACCCGGGTGCACGTTTGTATGTCAGTGTCTTTATGCTGTTTCTTTGTGAAAAGTTGATTTTCTATTTTTACTCTAATCTCATTCATTTTTTGAGTGCTGAGTGTTTCGATAATAGCCTAAATCTTTGGGTATTTACCTCTATTTTTTTTCCTATTTTTCCAAATGAATGTGCTTCCTTAGCAAGTTCATTTCCTAACTGCGGGATCAATAAAGTCTATTCTATACATTTGATTTGATCATATATTATAATTATAAAGGTATTATTCCATGTTCACAGCAGCGGATGAAAGGTAACACGGTGTTATAACAGGTGTTGGCGCGTTTCCTGTCAGTGATTCTATTACAGTCTAATGCAAATGTGCTAATGTCCTCTAACTTCCTGTTGACACCTGGCGTTGGTAAACATTTCCACACAAATCTCACTTCTCTATTATGAATGGAGTTACCTCAAATGCCCACAGAATGAAAAAGGAAAAATAAGCTAAACGTTGGAAAGTAAATAGAAATTTTAAAAGAGAAAATGATAAGGGGAAAATTAAAATGGGGAAAAAATTTAAAGTTGAAGATGAGGAAAAGAAAATGGCTAAAAAATAAGAAAAAATGGAGAAAGGGAAATACAAAAATTTAAAATAACTAAAGAAAATGTATATTTTCATTGAGGTGTGTGTGTGTGTGTGGGGGGGGGGGGGGGGCAACAGGATGCCACAAGGTGACCTGATTAAGCAAAAAGACAGCACTACATAATGTGTTGAGAATTTTAAAAACTCGAAAACTACATTTTTGTTGATTCCTGCAGCTGAGAGTAAAAAAACAAACCATTTTTTCTGACAGGAACCTGCCAAATAATGGGATGGATACCAGATAGGAGGCGCACAAAGACACAATTTGGCAGATTTCAAGTATTTTCTCTACAAACGTTATAATAACGTCTTTCTTGGGTTCATAGTTTGAGTCCAACAGGACTGATGAGCAAACTGCTAGTCAGTGCAGCCAAGGCCAAAATATATATGAAAATAACTCCAATTCCAAAACATTTCACAGACGTTTATGTAATATTACCTACTTATATCGTAGAACAAGATCAGATGGTCACATTTAATCATTTTGAAGTTATTTTAAAAGTTTTAAACTACATATGGCTGAGATTCATGCATTGGCACAAAAGATGGATGCCATCAAGGAGCGTGTGGACGAATCAGCACGGATTGGAATAGATTAATTTACGCCATTATTGGGATTTTGAGAGGTTGAGGACCAACGGAACTTTAAGACAGAGAGGAAATTATCTTTGTCTGGCCCCAAAACAATTTCTAATCTGAATGTGGTGCCCTTGAGCCTGTAAGGCTGCGACAAATACTCCCCCCTCAGAAGAAATGTGGAATGCTGCCGTCGCTATGGCAACTCTGTCTCCTATCCCAGCCTGGGCGGGACTGCGGGACGGCTGCCGAATTGTTCCAGGAGTCACTGTGCCCTCCAAATCTCAACAACCTCCTTCCTCTCTCCAGACTGAGGTGACGTGCGCTGCTTATCGTGGCTGCAGGAACTGACGTGTGGAGAGTCCCAAACCCACCACCCCACCTAGTGGACACTTGTGTTGTCTGAAGTCTGTTGCATCTCTGTTTGAGGTGTTTTTTTGCAGAGCTAAGCTGCCCTCCCTGTGGAGGGTAACTCTGAAGTGCCTTTTTCCCCTCCACCTGAACCAATCCTCTTGTAACCCCTCTGTTCTCTATTAAGGTAGCGCGACTCAGGGTTGCGAATGACCACAGTCACCAATTCTTGTCATGTGTCTATGTATGTATGTCTGATCTCTGAATTGTGTGTACTGAAACTCTAATTTCCCTCTGGGATTAATAAAGTCTCTTTGAATTGAATTGAATTGAATATCCCAGCTGTAACGCAACAACAGACAGAATCATGTGGTCAAACCCCGCCCTTCTCAGTCATCAGCACAGGCTAAATGCACCTTTCACCTCCTTACAGATATCAGTCAACCAGTTACTGAGGTGCAAGTAAATGTGGTTAAAGCCATACCGTTTTTTGCAACAATTCACTTTAAAGCTCCTATGTTTCCTAAATAGAATTAGATAACTGTCCGAACGAAGGCAGGACAAGACAAATAGGGCAAATGTGGTAATTCAATTCAATTCAATTCAAAGATACTTCAGTAATCCCAGAGGGAAATTGATTGCTGTAGTAGCTCAGAATAATACTAATAATCAAGTCATCAAAGAGTTATTGTATATTACAATGGCTGTTGGCAGGAAGGATCTCCAGTAGCGGTCAGTGTTGCAGCGAAACTGAAGAAGCCTCTGACTGAAGACACTCTTCCGTTGTTGGACAGTCTTGTGAAGAGAACGCTCAGGGTTGTCTATAATTTCCTTGATTCTCTGGAGAATCCTTCTTTGCATTATCTCCTCCAGTGGTTCCACAGTCGTCCCCAGAACAGAACCAGCCTTTTTTATTAGGCTGTTGAGCCTTTTCAGGTCCCTGCTTCTGATGCTACTACCCCCAACAGACGATGGCTGAAGAGATTACACTCTCAACAACAGACTTGTAGAAGATCTGCAGCATCTTGCTACAGACATTGAAGGACCTAAGCGTCCTCAAGAAGAGCAGGCAGATCGTCCAGCGAGGACAAATAAGAATATCGACTCATCTGTCACAAGGAAGATTAAAGAAAGCAACATTTCTGGAGCACCACTGGGCACGCGCCAAAGACACAGAACTTTCAGCTGAGTATTTTTAGAGCTCACCTGAACGTTGCCAAAATCAACAGTCTCATAATGGAAATGGGCACACTCTGCCAATCTGGGGAAGTGACCTCTGGGGAACGTTAGCCTAGAACAGACACAGAACAGCAACTCATCAACATTCAAGACACACAGACACTGATGAAGGGAAGAGGGAGAGGGGGGATCAGACTTATGTGAGATCCACCAGGCCCATTCATCTGTGAGGGCCTCGTCTCATTGGCCTCATAATCAGGCCGGGGAAATGATCAGAAACGCAGCATTAATGTCAACGCGAGCACCTACTTCTTCATGTTTTTGACTTTCATGCTGGCCGTGCTGACGCAGGAACGCAGGAGCGGCTCGGCTGGAGCTTCTGTGGCGTCGTCGCTCCTCATCTGTCAAACACAGGATCAGCTGATGTTGAAGCAAACACTGATTAGAGAGGCACATCAAAGAGATTTCCACATGTTTGAAACCAACTCTGGTGTGACCTGTATCAGAATCACAATGTGATGCATTTCCTGCCCGTGTGTGTGTGTGTGTGTGTGTGTGTGTGTGTGTGTGTGTGTGTGTGTGTGTGTGTGCGTGTGTGTGTGTGTGCACCATGGCAGTGGATGTTTCTTGTGGCTGCTTCTCCTCTGGAGGGTTGTTGTTTGTAGCTTGAGATAAGGCATCGTCATTATCCACATCAGGTGATGGTAGCACAACGCTGCAGAAACAGAAAAAGCAGAGAATTTGAAAAAATAAAAAAATAAAACACACACACACACATACATACATATATACATATATATACACACATGGACGTAATTTTCACTTTAGATGTGGGGGGGACACGGGGGGGGGGGGATCTTTACAGTATGTTCTAATGGGAAACAGGCTTCAACACAAACGTTTCTACTTGGTCCTAGAGCTCAACCAGTGTCAATTTAATATAATGTAATATTGCTTTTGGATGGTAAAAAGTGCAGGGGTCAAAACTTGGCTTTGGAAAAAGTGGGGGGGGGGACATGTCCCCCCTGTCCTCCCCCAAAATTACATCCATGTATACACAAATATAAAAAAGCTTGTACTGAGACTCGTAATCGAGATGTGCACGTTTGCAAAACAGCCACCAGATGGAGCAAGTGAGGGAGAACTCATCAAGTGGCTTTAAGACATGACATTGCAGCAGCATGGCCCAGAAAACATGCTACACTAGATCAAGATCAAGAAAACATGATAAAATATTAACTCATGAGCACATATAGTAAAAATCAGACTTTATATCAGCTCAGAAAATAAAGGCACCTTCAGTTGAATTAGAAAATTAAAAGCCATGGTGGATTTTTATGTGCACTCAATGTGTTCAGTGAGCCATGAAGCCTGTCCACTCACAGGGAACGCTTCACGAAACCTTCACTTGAAATGTGACTCAGTGTTATTCATTGGAGGGGAGGGTCAGGTCCTTTCGGGCAAACTTTTATCAGCAACAAAGACGGGAGGAAGCCTAGATTTATTATAGTTATTGAGCCTGATGACACCCTGGAACACGATGTAGTTCATGTCGCCACAAATTCCATAAACCTGCAAAGAAGCTGAGGAAGAAGCTTTGTTTCACTCTAACTGGGTCATTTTCATGCTTTTATTCAAGCAGCACCACACACACACACACACACACACACACACACACACACACACACACACACACACACACACACACACACACACACACACACACGTGTGTGGATGCAGGCAGAAGCACAAAATATCTACACATCCAGCGGCAGAAACACACTCTCCGCCCATGCCTCGCATCATTTCATGGCCCAGCATGAGCTAGCATGAAGCGAGGGTAAAAGAAAAAGAGCAACTCACCCCTCAAGGACGTCACCACTTCCTGGTTCTCCCTGGGGTGATGAGGCAGCATTCTCAATCACCGCGGCAACCACACATCCAGCCTCCATGATGCTGGCTTGCTGCAACAGCGCGCTGTGGAGAAACGTGAGTGGGAGGAGAGGGAGTCAGCATTGGGGTGGGTAAGAGAGTCTGAAGCTACGAAGGCACCAGACGTTAGCCCACTCGAGGCTGCGCAGATCTCAGGGCTACAATCCACCAAGCCCAGACTGTAATCTGGGATAGCATCATGCTACAGGGTCACGGGATGCTTCAGTGATAAAACATGTCAGGCTGAAATCTTATATGATGGTTTTGGCAGGAGTACCAGTGCCGTTATGTCTACCAGCACTGACAGATATTTGCTGAAACGTCTACTTTTATCCTCTTAAAAAGAAATATCAGGTTTGTCACAAAGCTCAGGATGAGATTTGTTCACTTATAGCCATTGCTAGTTTGCTTTATCAGTTTTCTAATTACACATCGATAACAATTTGTGTTTCTTTATTCTCAGCTTTGCAGCAATTATCAAAAGTTTAACCACAAATAAGACAAAATAACTCCATGAAAAAATTAAATACTTGTAAAAGGAAGTTTCTGGTTTGGAGGTAAGAATCGTTTTATGGGCTAAAAGGATCGTCTGCACTAACACCCACCCTAAGGGGAATAACTCCTTCCCACCGTCACCTGGGAAAATCAAGATCTGATGCTAAATGTGCACGTGGTTTCTGCAGCAGTTCATATCATGCAGAAGGTAAAAATGTCTCCCTCCATTATGAACGTTGCAGACCTCTTCCTTAGACAGATGTTCTTTGAACTGGTATTTAATGACCTCCTGGATTTGACTGGTTGTATTCAGATTTGAATCTGGATCCAATTTTGACTAAATTGGATTAAGTGTAATTTAATTTAAGTCGCCTGGAAAGAAATTTGCTTGTGAACTGCTGCTATTTAAAACTTAATGGAAACAGTTGACAGGATTCAGAAATTAAGAATCTTTAATCAAAAAAGTGATTCTGATATATCATGCAGTCTTGTGTATTGTGATATATACTGTACCATCACCCTTGTATTGCAAGACTTATTGTATCATCTCCCCCGTATTGTGGCATATATATTGTATATATATATATATATATATATATATATATATATATATATATATATATATATATAGTGTATATATATATATATATACAATATATATATATATATATATATTGTGTATATATATATATATATATACAATATATATATATATATATATATACAATACATATATATATATATATACAGTATTATCTTGTATATACTTATATATATATAATATATATATATATTGTATTATCTCCCGTGTATTGCGATATCTATCATAGTATCATATCATACTATATCCTATCACCTCCCTTGTACTGTACTATATGTTGCGTCGTTTCATATCCCATCTATTGTGCTTGGTGCTGCATCTGCAGTGATGCGGGCCTTGTACCGGTTTGTCGTGGTGAAGAGAGAGCTGAGACAGAAGGTGAAGCTCTCGATTGATTGGTCGGTCTACGTTCCTACCCTCACCTATAGTCTTGAGCTTTGGGTAGTGACCAAAAGAACGAGATCGCGGGTACAAGCGGCCGAAATGAGTTTTCTCCGCAGGGTGTCTGGGCTCTCCCTTTGAGATAAGGTGAGAAGCTCAGTCATCCGGGAGGGGCTCGGAGTAGGTTTGCTGCTCCTCCACATCGAGAGGAGCCAGTTGAGGTGGCTCGGGCATCTGGTCAGGATGCCTCCCTGGCGAGGTTTTCCAGGCATGTTCAACTGGGAGGAGTTCTAAAGGGAGACTATGTCTCTCACCTGGCCAGGGAACGCCTTGGGATTCCCTCGGAAGAGCTGGCCCATGTGGCTGGGGAGAGGGAAGTCTGGGCCTCTTGACAGGCTACTGCCCCCGTGACCCGACTTCGGATAAGTGGAAGAAAATGGATTATATATATATATATATATATATATATATATATATATATATATATATATATATATATAACAATACTAAATGATGCATGTATGTTTCTCCTGATTAAGCAATAACAACTCTTCTTCTACTACCTCACCATAAATACTCTGTGGTTTCATTCTCACCTAAAGTATTCAGCTGAGTGCAGCAAAAGGTTTGAGCCAATGAACGTCCACTTATCGCTGCTGGTGTAGCAGTTTCCCACCAACCCCTATGGCTTCAATGGGTTGCTGTTGTCGGACTTCCACAAAGCCTGCTGACTCAGCAGAAACAAGCGGACGGGGATGAGGGTCGAACTCATCCCGTATCTCCTCTTTAAGAGACACCCTTGCCAGAGGAGAGCAAAATGCATCACATGGGCAGCACAGTTAAGACATGTTACATAAAGTGCTGTTATATAAGAACAACTTAGGTCAAGTATGGTGATTCTTATGAGCATAAAAATAGATTCTCTTCACTTATTATCTTGTAGCATTTCAGCTAAGGGTGATTTCTTTCAGCTGAATGTATTCCATGTTCATAAGTTTGATGTTTTTGACCTTGCAGGGTACCATTGTAAGAACAAGATGTGCTGCACATCGCAGAGGCGGTGAGATTTCTGCGATTTAAACAGTGTGCACGATAAAAGGTTTCTATGTAGCAGAAACTCTGAAGGCATTCAACATCAACCACATGCACTTGTTTTGCTACAAACACTGAAACTGTAGCTTATTTTGGAAACACTTCAAGCAGAATGAGATATAAATAGACCCAATTGTACAAAGTTGTGATTTTCAATGAGGCTGAGCTTTCCGAGACAAAGATACACTAAGATCTCTCATGGTGTGTTTCCCTGTTAGAACCATCCCTTGCAGGTAATATTTCCACAACTTCTCCATCAGTCATCAACAAAGAATCACATCCTAGCTGCATGAATGCAGAGGCCCTCTACCTGTCACAGCTAATGGGAGAGGGGGCAGCTCTGATCCCAGGAGACCAGAGCAGCGAGAACAAAAGGATCTTGCCTGGTATCTGATGGCCTACATGATGTTTTTAAGGAGAGCAAGGCAAACCTGCAGAATCCTGCCCTCAGTGAGTGAGGCCAGATTCAGCAGGTGCACGTTGACAAGAAAATAGGTGTTAAATATTAACAGGTAACAACCGTCGGTGGAAAAGGAGTCATGGTTACCTGAGATGAGCGAGACAGTTCAAAAAGGCAACTCTTTCACCCGTTTCCGACCTCATTAGGGTCATCATTCTTCATTCTCAAATGAGAAATTTCAGTTGAACCTTTCCAGAAAGTACAGAAGATTTTTAAAAGAATAATAATTCTCTTTTGTTTTTACTTGTTAGTTTGCAGAAAGTTCTTCCAACTTCCACATTTAGAGATGTTTGTACACAGTATACAGTTGAGTCACAATGTGGATGAAATACATTGAAGGTGTAGAACACTTGTTATTCATTTGCAGGTAGGAATGAATGCCTTGCAAGCCGTACTCGGGGCAAAAAAAAAAGCCCGGAAACACCAGCGTCAGCACGGTCAAGTCTGCCACATCAGAGGAGTCTTATTTCCTGATATTTGGACATCTCGCCTTGGATTGGATAACATCAATGCGACTCTACCACTGACTCTGTTTGCTCTACTACATGGATGTTTTATCTCCACAAGAAGCACAAGCCTGGAGGAGTGTCTGCCATGTGGTTGAGTTGCTAATGCTAGCCAAGACGTTCTCTAGTCGGAGCCGGGATCAAACCTTTAACCTTCTGATTTCTGGACAACCTGCTGTATCTCCTGAGCTACTGCTGTCCCACACGCCCTGAGGGGCTTCTGCCGTGTGGTTGAGTTGCTAATGCTAATGGTTAGCTTCTGCCTGACGCTGATCTGTTCCAGCTTTTTTAATCCTAGAGTTTCACCGTCTATTTTCTATCAGAGGCTAATGCAGGATAGGTGTAGGAGACCATTTTCATGTTTAGCCTGCATGAAAAACCACAACTAATCATTAAAAGTGTTTTTTCAGTGTTCCACGCCTTTATATTTTAAATGTTCGGTCTCGCATTTCCTATTTAACTGGTTGGTCTTCAGTCCAATCCTCACCTACGGTCATGAACCACAAGAACAAGATCAGCAATACAAGCAGCCAAAATGAGCTTCCTTCGTAGGGCGCCCAGGCTTTGCCTTGGAGACAGCATGAGAAGACATCTGAAAGACTCAGAATAGAGCCGCTGCATCCCCCCATCATAAGGAACCAGCTGAGGTTGATCCAGTTTTCCTGGATGCTTCCCAAGGCAGATGTTTTGGGCATGACCTGTCGGGTGGAGGCACCAACAGAGAGGGTGCTCGCTGCAGAACTACAAAGGCAGAGCTGCACAATAAGGTGGAGCTGCACCAGAGTCAGCCCCGCCCATTCACGCAAACTCAGCCTAGCCCACTGACTCCTGTTTTTGTTTTTAACTTTATCGCAAACTAAGCTGACCCACATGAATTACGGCTGTTACTAGTTTACAACTGTTAATGCTATGTTCTATGCTCCAATTAAACAAGATAAATATAACTTGCTACATGACAAAGCCTGAATATATCCCGAAAAGAAAAGGTTTCTTTTAGCAAATATCTGCCCACAGCCGCTCCAACAACAGTGGCCTACAACAGCATTTAAGGCTATTGTGTGGGCTGTGGTATTCGAGTGGCAAGATCATCTGATTTAAGTTTTGTTTTCCCCTCAGCTGATGCTGGTTCGACACTCGGTGGGGTCGGCAGCAGTTTATTTAGCCAGCTGAAACATTTAATTTGTTTATATTTTAGTTGTAATGTTCATTTTCTGCAAAATATTTATGTCTCTAAAAGTTTTTTGAATTTGGTCGTTCCTAAACAGCATTTTAGTTTAAACTCTGCTCACAAATGGATTCACACTGGCTAAATAAACAAATTAATTAAAAAAAAACACATTAGTCATTATATTTTAAAAGGTATACCAATAAATTGTTGTAAACATAGTACTGGCAAGTATAGCTAGAAAAGAAGAAAAACGGTTATAAACTACCTTTTCACTGCCGCTACTAAGAGGCGAACCTGCGCAAAACTGCATGCCAACCTGACTCCGTCACCACTTCACCACTACATCTGAAAAAATGCAAGTGGCATTACATGTAATTGTGCCATCCAGTGTGTGTTTGTAGATGGGATGTATGGTTTTTCCGGCGGTGTCTCAGTAGAAGTCATTTCAGAAATAATTTGTCATAAAATTCACAGAAATCCAGATTTGAGAACCAAGACCATTAGCTTCTGGATGAAATAATCTGATTTGTGTTTTGGCATTTTTAGTCAGGAAAATGGCTCATTCATAACATGGAGGTGGAGGGACTTAAATACTGGTGTCATGGTCTGCGTCTACATCTCCCCTCGTGTGTCTCCTTGTGTTCTCCATCCCTCTCTAGGTTCTCCTTTTGTGTCTCCTAGTGCCCTCATGTGTCCTTGTTCTGCGTCTTCCTCATGTGTCTCCTGGTGTTCCCCATTTGCCCCCAGATCTTCAGCCCTCTAGGTTTCCCTCCTCAGATACCCTCATCCCAGTTCTTGTGCTCCCGTGGCCCCCTTTTAGTCACGCCCCTGTAGCTTTTCTTTCTGTGGTGTTTTTCCTTTAGTTTCAGCTTCCCCCTTAGAATATGACGTTTTTACCCTTCTGTTCTTTAGGTTTTTCTCTTAGGTCATTTTTCTTTAGCTACAGCTGTTGATGTTATTAGTCTCTCTAGTGTGTTCTTCCCATCGGTGTTTGAGGTTTTTCCCCCTCCTTAGATTATTAGTTATGTTCCTGCTCTTCTTGTCTTTAGTTTTTATTCTTAGGTCATGTTTGTTTCCTCCCTAATTAGTAAATCAGTTCACCTGGTCTCTCTCCCCACACACCTGCAGGTCATCTCCCTCTCATCCTCCCCAGTGTATAAAGCCCTGTCTGCGTCTCTGTGTGTTGTCGGTCCATTGTTTGGTGTCAGCGTTGTTTTGTGCCTTGTCTCTTGTTTTTGTGCTCTATGTGAGCTTTCGTTCTCCTGGTATTCAGGACTTTGGTTTTTGGCTTCCTGCCCTTTGGATTTTTGTTCCTCATCCTAATAAAAAGGATTTTACTTTTGAACCGCTCCTGCCTTGTGTCATCTGGTGTTTCCTGCATCTTGGGTCCTAACCTCCTCCTAACTCGCAACATGACAACTGGAACCAGCCACTAGGGGGTGCTTGTTCTGTATCAGCTTTCTTTACGGCAAAAGCAAACAGGATACAAAACTTTATGTCTTTAGTGAAATAGTTCCTAGCCCTGTAACAAGAATATTTTAGTCTATGACTCCCAGAGGTGTGGACTCGAGTCACATGACTTGGACTCGAGTCACACTCTAGTCATTTTTAATAACTTCTGACTTGACTTGATAAAATCTATAAAGACTTACGACTTGACTCAGACTTGAATGCCAATGACTTGCGATTTGAATCGACTTGCGTCTGTTGACTTAATGATGACTTGAGCATATTAGATATTTTAGCACAAAAGTGGCATGACATGGAAAAAATCATAAATCATTCTTCGTTCCGGGTTTGATGTTGTACGGCTAAATGCAGCAGCACTTTGTTTATAATCAACATCAGTTGCACTTCCTGTTTGTTTGAGCAAATAAATAAAGCTTTAAGAAACTATTTCTGGAATTGATTTATCATCACTGTCATTAAAGTGAAGTTGGACAGATGACTTGATTATGACTTGAAAATTCTAAGTTAAGGATTTGGATTTGACTTGGACTTCCACATCATTGACTTTGGACTTATGTTTATGTTTTTTTATGTTTATTTATTTAGCAGATGCTTTTATTACTTACAACTTACAACGACTTACAATTTAATTTAATTAAGGACTTGACTTGGACTTGTCTTTGACTTGGACTTGACTGGAAAGACTTGTGACTTACTTGCGACTTGCACAGCAGTGACTTGGTCACACCTCTGATGACTCCTAGTCGAATTTCTAACCAATATTTTTTTAATTAAGATTTTGTTGTTTTGTTTTGCATGAATCCTGGCGATAAACAGCTAACTCTTTAGACTATCGCTCGGGTGTTTCTTGCAGTAACTTCCCAGATCCTCTGGGGTTTAAAAAGATGCAGTTTGGAACAATCCAATGGACTCTTCACTGGGTCTTTCGTGGACTCCAATCAATGTGCATCTGCTGTCAAAACCAAGAATGCTGGATTCATGATCTCCTTCTGACTTCGTTTAACACAAGCAATAGATGCAGTGGGAAAAGGCCCTGCGGTTGCCATGGCAACTTGTCTCTCATCCACCGTGACTTGATGTCCCTCCAGGTTCTACGAATGAGGGAGGAGGCAAAAGAAGCCCTGGAGGAACATCTGGCTCGTCGGCCTGAGGCGGCGTGATCGTCACCGATCCGCTGAGCCGCCGCCGCAGTCAGAGCAGCAGCTGCCATCATTTCTAGAGCGTTATGCCTGAGGAATGAAGGTAACAGGGAGCTGGTAGTGGTGCAAATGGGAGGGGGTAGTTTGATCCTATAATCTTTTTGAAATCTACCAGATTGAGATTATTTCATCCCACAGAGAGTAGATGTCAGGGCTCAATCTTTGAGCGAGTGATTCCTGACGAAGGCCGGATCTGGGCCTAGCAGCAGGACGACTCAGATCCAAATATTTAATCAACGAGTCGATCTGTTGCTCAGGATGACGACCCAAGCGTTGCCAGTCTGCTCCCGCTTTGAGACAAACTAATCATGCTCTAAAATAGTCACCCGGAGACAATCTTGTTGTGCAATAATTTAGAAACATGTCAGTGTTTCTCGGGAACAAAAACATTCCACTGTGCCAACTTAATCCACAGACTCCCAGACAGTCCTGGGAGATTACGGATATTCGTGCAGTCTGATGCAATCCAACACAACATCTGTAAAGCAGCCACAACCGGCTGAACGTTGTGCTTTAATGTTTCACTGCAAAAATGCAGACCAGTTCATGACGTATAACTCGTTTTCTAGCTCCGTTCTTTTTCTGAAAAATCTTTTAACTTCCTTTGATTCAAGTGTAAATGTTTTGTCTAAAAATCTACTTTTTTACTTCCTATTTCAAACTGTCCAAAGCCTGAAATACTTTATTTATTGGCAGAAAGAGAACAAGTGAAAAGATAATTACACTTTAGAGGCTAGGTTGGGCAAAATAAGCTATAATAATTATATTAAGTTAGAGAAATGTAAATAAATGTATACAATTGGGTGTAATTGTCACTCTACTTATAGAAAATGCCTTTATAGTAATTTATAATTGTAATAATAATGTAATAATGGAGTTGGGCCAGAAATGTAACTTTTACTCCATCATTTCCTGCCTTTGTTTTGTTTCCTTCAATATTTTCTCTCCTATTTAGTGCAGTACTATATCTATTGCACTGTGCATTGTGTAATGCAGTGCTTTATTTATTTGGTACACCAAAATGACCAAAATATTTAAACAGGCATCAAATTGTAAAGCAATGGATGAAAAATGGGAAAACCCGCACACTTTGGCTCAAAAGAATGTCTTTGATCTGCAAAAACTGTGAAAAACAACTTAATCTGTTTAGTTATGAATCGTGATTACAAATAACAGCAGCTTAATCTGAATGTTGAGTCTTTTTTAGGTCTGTAAATGACCTAAATGAGAATCCGATTACCCAAAAATGTCCTCTTATGACACCACTTTACTTATTTAGCCGTCCATACTCAGACATGAGAGTTTTACTCTGTTTAAACACATCACAGCTTCAATTAAATGTATTTTAAATCAAAAATAACCTGAAATAGATGAAGTGATCCAGAGCTGGCACTTGTTGCAGGCCTACTGCAGCACATTCGTCATTTTGTGGCCAGTCAGTAAAAAGAAAACAACTCCAAAATCCTCCTGACACATCAGATCTTATCAGCTTTCGTTACCTTTGATGCAACATAACTCAGATTCCTGTCCTTCAGAATAACTCCTGGGATCTACTGGGAAAAGTTTACAACCAGTGTACTCTGACCTGTTGGGCCTGGCAGAAAACAGGCTCCTAGAATACACATACACACACCTACACACGCACACACACACACACCCATCCATGATGTTTTAATGAGAACTGACCATGACTGAACAGGAGCCCCCTCCAGGGCCATGGCCCGGTTCTGGTTCTGGTTCTGGTTCTAGCCTACCTGTGCACGTCCACGCTGCTCCTCTATGCCGCACAGATGAGGAAACATGCTGTCAGCATCGCGGTGCAGAAACGCGCAGCTCCGACGCACACGCGCTCGTGGTGCAGGTGATCATCTGAGGTAGATGTTTTCAGGTGAAAAGCCCCGGATCGGGTGCGGCATCGCTGGAGAGCTGCGGGAGCCTTTTTTCCGGGGTTGTGGGAGGAGGAGGAGGAGGAGGAGGAGAAGGAGGGGGGAACTGAAGATCTGCGGCGGGAGCGCGCGCTGCTGAAGTGGTTTCGTGCCCGCGCCTCCTAAATTAAAGCCTCCGGGGTTCCCAGACCTTTATGAAAGTCAAGGACCCATATCTGAGACGTGCGTGAGGTTAGCCCCATCTGCCCGGTTCCTGCTGGTGCTCATCAGCTGGAGGAGCCGCAGTTGTGCGGGGTTAGGTAATGCTTGGTACGGGATTACATAATGCTCCAATATGGGTGGGTGGTAAGAGTGAGAGGAGGGAAAACTGGTGCTCCTCAGCTCCATGCATCATTTTATTATGTTTGTCCACAGGAGGATGAGTTTTTCCTCTCTTTTTTAGTCTCAGCACATTTTAACTTTTTTAGTTTCAGTCACTTTATTTTTAATTTTGTGGAATTGGGAAATAAAATATCCACACTAAAACCAGAATAAAATTCGTGGTGACATTTATGACCAGCAGGTGGCAGAACTTGGTACCAGATGTCTCCACCTTCTCATTGGTGAAATGGGAAATGTCCTATTTATGGGTGCTGCAATGTTGTATTCCATAAAGCACACTCTTAGCTGGGGCTAAAGTTTCTGCCTTAAGCCCTCACATACTAAATAGATCTAAAGCACCAGCTAACTACAGTGACCTGGTGATAAATGTTTTTGAAACTGTCTCCTTGTGCAACTGGACAGCGCTAAGACCAATCGGAGCAATAAACATGAATGATTTGTCGCTACAGATTACAGTCAGTGGGGTAGTCCGCCATGCACCATTGAAAACAAAGCAAATACATCGGAGCTCAGCATATGATGAGAGGGAGCAGATACCTTGTGGGACACCATGGGTGGGGGAGGTTGTGGAGGACCGAAACTTGGAGACCGCCACAGAGAAAGAACGCTCAGACAGGTAAGAGGAGAACCACTCCAGAGCAGTTCCTGATAGGCCTACCCAGTCTCTCAGCCTATCTAGTAGCAGGTGATGGTCAACAGTGTCAAAGGCTGCAGTCAGGTCCAGCAGAACAAGAACGGAGCAGTTCACTGACTCATCACTGTGAGTCAGAAGGTCATTAGACTCTAAGAAGAGCTGGTTCAGTAATGAGCTCTACGGAAACATGACTGGAAACTGCCACAGATGTTATTTTCATCTAGAGCAGGTGTGAGTTTCCAAGATTTTGGAGAAGAACGGGTGTTTAGAGAATGGTCCAACGGTAGACCTGCTGAGGCTACAATAGAGCGTGGCTAGACCAACCTGCAGAGCTAACTCTTTTTGCTAATACTACAGTTTGTCCATAGACTGTAAATAATGGGCAACCCCTTCATGTCATCACCCTTAGCAAAACAAATCAAATAAAACAAAAGATGTGTTGCCTACATTACATCACAGAACAGGGTAAGACTTGCAATAAAAAAAATCATACATTATGAAAAGGGGAAAACATCAGATTGTTGCTTTGACAGAATTTCGATAAACGGGAACGATCTCGGTGCAAATGGGTTGTGCAGATCTCTGCAGACTGCTGTGGGTGTAGACTTACTCATGTAGGTGGCAGAATGAAGCACAGCCTGTTTGTCAGAGCTAAGCTTCTGAGCAAACATGTCAAGGCAGTAAGCTGTATCAATAACCAAAAGAAGGATGGGAGTTGGTGTTTAATGCAAGGAGATTGAAGATGTTTGCCAAGAGCAGAATAATTTTATTAAGCCAGATTACTAACAGGGTATCTATCACAAGCCCCAACAGCAGGGAAGAATCACGCGTCTTACAATTCTGCTCCAGTGTCAGTGAGACGCTCAAAACAACCCATGTGTTCTGATCATGATGAAGATTCAGGATTCAAACCTCGTCTTTTTGTGTGGAGATAGTTTCACTGCCAACAAATCAATGTTCTAAATGCAAAGGTGGTGGTCTTCATGTTCCCACCACCACCTTGCAAGTAGACGTTGCTGACCCACGAGTATGTTTACTATTTTATCTATTCCAGAAGTTGACAATAATTTCAAATGTCATCAGAAAAGCAGAATGCAAGAATAAAATTAAGGTTTGACTTTCTTCAGAACAGTGAATGAATTAAAGTAGAGGCAACATGGAGGTGGGATTTGTAAATGATTTCTTTTAAACAGTAATGCCTTCAGACACAAAAATGTATAGGCTACTTCAAAAGACTGAAGAAACAAAACAAAGTGATTTAAAGGTGTTGAACACTCGTTTAATCAGCATATTTGCAGAAGTCTCTGGTAGGAATGAGTGCCTTGTAAAGCTTGGTTTATGCTTGACGCATCCGCGAGGTCCGCACGGCTCCGCGTGGCGAAATTGCGTCATTTTAACAACCACGCCCCTCCACCGCGTCTCCGCACGGCCCAAACTTTCCGCACCGCGCACCTTGGAAAATTTCTAAACATGCGAACGGTCCGACGCGGAAAAACATGGCGGACTGGCAAGAACTAGTATGGCAGAGGTTCGTAAATACAGACATTTGTATGATTCAGCTCTCAGAGATCACAGTGATCAACATGTTGTTAATAATTCTTGGAGAGAAATAGCTCGCACTGTCGGAAAAGACGAGGACGCTGTTAAAAAATGCTGGAATGCCATGTAGTAAACAACAGTAATTTTTACTTCTACTATGGTGTAGTGTTGGATGCATGCCGTAGAGCTCCATGCTGCCCCCTACAGTTTGGGAGAATATTGGCTCACCGCAGAGACAAGCCGCATGAACCATAAACGCTGCAAGTTGTGAAGCGCATTCCATCCGCGAGCCGCATCACCAAGCGGAAAGTAAATGCGTCCTTGGGTCGCACTGACAGAGGCGAGGCCTGCCGAAAACAGGTGTCACCGGTCCATCCGATCATCACCAGCAGGAAAGGTGGATCAAGTGCCTTGCCCAAGAACACAGCAGCAGCATTCTCTGGTCGGAGCCAGGACCGAACCTGCAACCTTCCCATTAATGAACAACCCGCTCTACCTTGTGAGCTACAGCTTTCCCACAATCCTTGAGGAGCTTCTGCCATGTGGTTGAGTTGCTAATGCTAATGGTTAGCTTCTGCTAGCCGAGACGTTCTCCCGGACACTTAAACAATGACAGCCTTTCTGGGCGTGAGCCGAGATGAGTGACTCCAAGTGACCGCTTGACGTAGATCTGTCAGGCTTTTCAAATTCTAGCGTTTCAACGTCTATTTTCTATGAGAACCTAATGCAAGCGATAGGTGAAGGAGACTATTTTCATGTTCAGCCTACGTGAAAAACTCAAGAGTGACCAATATTAATCAGAAATTATTTTTGAAAAAATGTTTTTTTCAGTGTTCTACTCCTTTAAAATAAACCTTGACCTAAAAAAAATGTTGCTGCAGCAATAATGAATGACACAAAACACCCGCCTTACTATTCACCAATCTGCTTTGAAACTTAAGCAACGTGGCCTCAAAGGGTTCGAGTGTTTGAACAGTGGATTAACTGAACTTTGCATTTTACTCAGATGAATGCAAATGGCAGCTCGTTTGTTTGCTTCCCAGCCTTCCTGGGGGAATTTTAACAAAAGCACAAAGGTCATTACCGACAGACTTCACCTCCCTTCAGGACATTTGTTTTCCTCCTTAAGGCACGGCCTTCATTCGGTTTATTCCTCAGCAAAAAAGGAAAAATAGATCAGATCTATGAGAATGTCCATATCTTATATATATCTATGTAGATATAAATAAAATAAGAATGTCTTTGCTAATCTGACCAGTGTAAAAATACATAAAATAAATATAAAACAGCTGACCTGATTAAGCAGCTGTTATCTGCTTCCTGACCAACACTTACACCATGTGTTCAGCACATGAACTACACCACCTGCCTCGCAGTCCGGGACAAAAACACAAGAGAAATTAAACCTCTTTTGATGTTTTTTATTATATCAAAATACAAAAATTTGAGAGGAAAATTTTGTATAGGACTAAGCATTTGAAATGATATGGTGACATGAGAACAGCACTGCTTTCATCTTCTCACAGACATGCCATTGATAGAGCATAGATCATGTGCTAGGCCCATGTCTATGTCATGATGAGCCACCAGGAATTAGCCTGTGCATTTCCCCTTATAAAGGCTTGGCGATGGCGACTGTTGCTGTACATCCAGGCCAGAGAATGTGTTTGCATGATTTCATTTTTTAATGTCATCGTTCGTTCAGGTTTCCACTTATTCAAGAAAAGAAATAAGATCCATGGCAGTTGAGCATGATAAGTGAGTAAGACATGATCTCAGATGGTACAGAAGTCACTGGACAGCAGTGGCAAACTAGAGAAAAATAATACAAATATTTGACGTAAGGCTTTGGTACAGCACCATACAGCATGAGTTAATTGCTTACAAAAAGTTATGTGAAGCATAAATACCTGATGCAATGACAGGACAGAATGACAAGTCCAAAAGAGAGAGAGAAAGAGAAAACATGAAAATCAGGTTATTGTTTAAAAAAGAGAAAAGTGGAAAAAAGTCTTTTGTTTGAAATATTTACATATGAACATCATGAAGACACAGTATGCAAAAACAAAAGATAGACTTTTAAAGACAGAAACATGTAAACATGTGATGTACAGCACAGAGTTCAGTGGATGGAAGTGAAATGAGACGTGAGAAATATTCTTCCTTTCAGCACTACTGGGTTTGCTTGAGTATGAGCATTTTAGCTAAAACAGTCAACGATGTAGTGCTTATTGTAGCCTACGATAATAATACATTCTAGTTTTTTCAGTGCTGGTACACATGAAAAATACAAAAAAAAAATAACAGATTATAGAACATACTTCTTTTTTTTTTTTGTCCAATGACAACTCGCTCGAATGGTCATGAATGATTGCTAAATAGGCGTTGTTTTTTTTGTATTGTCTCTACATGCAAGAATAATACAATAATAAATCAAATCTGTTGTAGGTATCATCCTACCAGCAACTAGTGATGCACTAAAAGCTGTAAGAATAAAAAATACAAACAAAAAAACTCAAAAGTAAACAAAAACCCAGAACTGAAGACGTTAGCTAACAGTACGTTCCAAAGCAGCCCTCTTAAACGCTGTACATGTGTCGGTTCAAACTGTGAGAAAAAAGCCCGGAAGACGACGTCTGTTTTATAAAAACCGGCGGGAAGGATGGATGAGGGTTCCAGTTACTTTCCAACAGTAGAAGAAATGCACGTGTGGACTACTCATGGCTATAGTGTACAGTACTAACCAGAATTCCTCTGTGAAAAAAAAAGGATGGTGGGGTGATGTGGGGCGGTAACGCCCCGGCGGTAGTGTGCTTGAAAAACATTTCTGTTAGCTACAGGAAGTGTGTAGAAAAAGATCCCAAAACCGACCTGACAGTGCTCTCAGACTCTCCCCCATATGTCCCGTGGTGAATACTACTCTAAGTCAGGCTATGTTTCTCCATTTAGGCTGGGTTAGCATTTTCAATATCACCAGAAGTATATTTTAGTGAGGGTACCTTGGAAGCACAGACAGACATTGCAAACACACTATAGAAAACAGGTCATTTTGAGTTCACTGAATGTCACAAGTCTAATAATCGAGGTTATATGTCTACGTTCCAGTACTGTCTATCACTGTGGTCACACTGTTATGATTAAGACAAGTCTACCGGAGCTAAGCTAGCAGCTAACCAGTTAGCTAGGTTAGCTGCTCAAACACAGGTGTAGAAATAAACCAAAGCAAATAAAAAAGTGGCTTGTTGAAACAGAAACAAAATTATCTTCAGACCTCTATTCTACAGCACCACAAAGTTAAACATAGCACCAAGTCGTAATGTTCAAAGCAACTATGCCCTAACACACTTCATTTCATCAAACTAATGTAAACACAATTTCCTCCACAGCACGTTTTGTACATGACTACAGCATGTCCGTTGCTTTTAGAAAAAAGAAACCAAAAAAAAAAAAAAAAATAAAAACCTTCAGTTTATTTGCTTTGGACACGTGAAGGCAAAGAGATCTGACGTTAATCTACATGTGTGCTCAAGAACGGGCAAAAATACATTATTACTTTGTTTGAGAAATATAATAAGAGGGCGACACATTTCTGCTTCTAAAGCTTTCCCCAATGGGCATCCACATACTATACATCAGAGAAAATACTACTCGACTTGTGCAGCCAGCGGGCTATGGCGATAATACACTGTACGGTACTAACATTAACTTTTCTTTTCTTCTCAGGTAAAATAACGTCTGCTAAAGTATGACAAATTAGGCACCTTAAAATGTTTTTAAAACATCCACTTAAAGCCGTATTGTAAGCAAATACTTTGATATATAATCTAATTTCTTTTTACTTGGGATCCGTCCCTGTTTTTTCATACATCCTTGTACAAGGTCTCGCTGTAAAACATGGTTTATCTTTACAAATACAATACACACCATGTACATTACATAACAAATATAGATTATTTCCCTATATCTTACATGTAATCAATTTGTTAAAGTAGAATATGCACTTTGATGCTCACTTTCAAGCAATCACCACTTTCTAAATTGTCAAGAGACTTTAGAGTCATTCATGAGGATAACGCAAGACCTTTGATTTAGCGCAAAACTTCGGATTTGTATGTGGAAAATTGAAATCTGTTCCGTGTGTCTTGGTGTGACTGAACTGGCCTCAGCAAAACAACAACAACAACAAAAATAAAGTACTAGCAATGTAGTCGTTGAAGCTAATCGAAGAAGTTAGTTGGGAACCGGTGTGGTAATTTGGACCTATTGTGCCAAAATGGTCATCTCACCAATCACAGCTGCATTATAAGCATTATTATAAGGGGAGGGGGGTCATTCAATGCACTGCAACATTGGGACATTCATTTCCTGTACAGCAAAACATACATTCATTATCGGTTAGTGTCTAAAATGAACAAACATACAGCAAAGTAGATAGCAAGCAATATACATTTTAAAAGATAAACAGTCAGGGTGGCCATATGTTTGTTTTAATTCCCCATTGCTTAATGAATCACTTTCTCATAACTGTACCACTTTTTTGCATGTACAGTGCTTCTGATCTCTTGCCAAACACCTGTTACTCTTCGTTTTTACAAGTTTTCTGGCAATGTCCTTTTAAATCAGTTGAAAATAAACCAAAAACATGAGTTATACATCGTCAGTGGTGTGTTCTTTCACGTGCCCTAGGCAGAGAAAGTAAAAGCACACATAGTATCGGAGTTTCACACTCCGCTATAGCGAGAAACATGAAAAGGCGAAGGAAAAAGGCAGTTTATGTCAGAAAATAACATCAACAAAAGGCTCAAATAAAAAGGCACATCAAAGTGTGCCGTATTTCTCAAATAATTCCTTTATAATGAAACATACATACAGACACTTCTCAGTTTGTCACGCCGCTCTTTAGTCTGACTTCTGTTGAGCACGAAAGTCCAAAATTAGCTTAAGAGATCCCATGAAGGCTATGATCTTGGTCCTAACTCTGTGCTGCGACAAAATGCTGCCAAGCACGGAAATCAAGACCTCTAACTGTTGGCATCTGATCACAAACCAACGGAAAATGCCAGTTATAATCAATACAAAATATTAGCTTCCAAATAAGATTAAGTCAGGCCATATTATCCATTCGAATGAGTGGTGAGAGTTATAAACCTTTGATCCGTACCTTTCATGTGTAAAAAGGTCAAGTACGTACAGTATACCACAAGAATTACAGCAACTCTGCGTTTACTCTGAGGTATATTTTGTGGTAAGAACCCTGTGTTTTAAATACTGACACTATTTGTATTGTAGGAAAGGTAGACTCGTGTCCCTGTAGGACGCACCAGGCTTAACAGTACACCGTATCACTGAAAAACCTAAAGATATGATCCCCTCAATGATAAGTGAGTGAAAAAATCTTTAACGTGTTGTGACATACTCAACCAACACATTTTATTACTGTAAGAGGAAGCTTAATTCTCTTGTTTTACTATTTATTTACATTATATATCTTCAGAGCATTTTCAAGTGAAATTCCTCAGAAAAAAAATGCCATTGTTCTTGTCTTCAGATTAGATTTCAAACCCCAGAGGATTCAGCTTTCCTGCTCCGCAAATACAAATCAAACCTCTGGAGATTATAAGAAACACATTTGTTTGTTACGGCGGGGGAGCAAGGAGAGCTGAGGTGATCTTTCCTTTTGTTTCATTGTGGAAGGGGCCAGTTGAGTCGAGTCCAATGGCTTGGGTAGGGCAGGCGGGTCAGTGTAGAGTTCCATAATTTTGGCCCTCAGAGTCTGCACTGGCCAGAATGCCTGTCTGGTCCTCCTCGGACTGCCTTTGATGAAGGAAGGAGGTCAGATAGCGGTATGGGTTCTTTTTGTTTTGCTTTTTACTCTTTCTGTGGAGGTTGAGCTCCTTTCCGTCTTGGGGTGTCTGGGATTTCTGCTGGGTCTGAGAGGGAGACACATCTGCAAGAGAGAGCATTAAGGGGATATTTCAAGCATTTTTAAGTGGTTTTCTATGCAACGTTTGTTAACAATTACTACACAGCCTGTTGTAAAGCTCCCTAAATTACTACATCTTCCCAAGATAAAAATGCATTAGTGACGGGACTCTGGATTCTTTGAAGGGAGCCGTCTTTCGAGATCCATTAACTAAGGTGGCTCCTCATATCCTCACACACCACCGATTCCTCTTTTAAGAGTCGCGACACACTCAGGCCAATGTCAATCGAACCATTATTGTTGGTCTTGCTGAAGCTACTTGCACTGCCAGTTCTATCGGCGAACCACTTGTGGCATCTAGAGTAACGTGCCTTCTGTGTTTTGGTTCACCGACATGCTACATAATTTCCCTGTGATAACATAATTCCCCCTCTCATTATCTTTCTTCAGTGTTAGTCATTAGTTACCAGTTGTTCTGTCAAAAGTAAAGTGGCTAGCCGACATTCTTGCACCAGAGTCCGCTTCCAGCACACGATTCCTGTATGTTTTAGATCTTATAGCTACTTTGTTTGATTTAGTGATGAACCACTCTTGCAGAAACTGATGAAGGCTGAGAAGACATTTCATCTGTAAGATTAGTGTGCCTTTAACTATTTAGTTTATTCACTTATTCAATACAATGGAAGTGTTCTCTAGTGTAAATCAATGCCTTATAGGGAGCCTAAGTCTCCTCCCTTTCCGGTCGGCTCGTGGGTCCCCGGGAGAACAAAAAAATGAATGCAAGTCAACGGTGCTAAAAAAACTATTTTCTAATCCACTTTGCCTTATGCCCTGGATCCCACATATGTTGTATTGTAATTTAAATGAAAACTAATGATTGGTTTTTTGACCATGCCTGTCACGCACATGGAGATTTGTCAGCTTGTAAAAATTTGTAATTAGCATGACTACATCGGCACGTCGCATTTATGACGTCACCACAGCATCTTCTCTATAGCGAAGCTGCTACTTACCAAATGGCCAGATTTATGGTGGTTCATTTCTCCTGTGGGAAGGATGTGAAGTTTGCTGAACTTACAGCCATTTTCCCTCTGTTTTCCTCCGTGTCTGGTTCGATGACGTCACTTTTGTGAAGCGCATTTGTAGTCCTGGACTCATATGCACACAAAACCTAAAATAGCGTTACCTCCCGTTCGAAAATAAGAATGTTCTTGGTATCAAAAAGTTTTTTTTTAAATTCATGGACATCATATGTGAAATCCATGGAACATAACAAGCAGAATTAGTAAATAGCATTTTTAGCCCCATTGACTTGCATTCATTTTTTTGTTCTTTCGGGGACTTAGGCTCTCTATGAGTCATTTTAAAAAATAGAAAGCTATGATGCTCCTGATCTGAGATGCTGAAATTTCCTGGTGCTGAGGTCGGATGAAAACAGCAGGACTACTCATTATTATCAACGATATGCACACACCTCACTTATGATTGGACAGAACGCGTTCAGCCATGTCGCAAAGTTACTATCACCAAGACACTCTCCACTCTCTCTTCTCGTTGCAAACCTTTTTTTAAAAGCACCCTGGGGGGGGGGGGGGGGGGGGGGGGGTACAAGCCGAGATGAGCAAGGCAATGAATGCTAATTCACAGTGTGACATCACTGTGTGAGGATTTTCAAATCCTAGCTTTTCAGCATATATTTTCTATCAGAAGCTAAGGCAGGAGAAGGGTGTAGGACACTATTTTCACGTTGAGCCTGCGTGAAAACCTCAGAGTGACAGATTATAATCAGAAATAATCATTAAAATGTTTGTTCAGTCAAACACACCTTTAAAAAATCTTTTTAAATCAAAATATTTGTCCATTATGATGACAATCAGACTGACCTGTTCTCCTGGTGGATGTTATGTTGTTATTGTTGTTGGCAGCCACTCCCTTGGCCTTAGTAATACAGTGGTGTAGTAGTGCTGGTAAGCTCTCAGACCCGGCAGTATCGCTAGACGCACCTAGAGGTTCCCTAAAAAGATGAGAGACAGCACAGCATACATTGTTCTGCGTTAATCCAGCAGTCGTGTTTGGTCACGTCGCAGAAAAAAAGAGACAACACGGTGCTTTCATCACTATTCCCAGTAGCTGCCATAGTGTGATTTGATGAGCTGTTGAACTTCTATGGAGAGCTGATGGGATTTCACTGTCTATTTGCTTTGATGAATGAGGAACAAAATTAGATACCAAGAAAGGTAAAGAGAGAAACAATGGAACAAGAGAAATAGAAAGAATAGTTAACAGAAGATGGGAATAAAACTGGTGGAGTTGTTATTGCTCTTAAACAGTCGCTACATTAAAGACCCAGTTCAGCATTTCAAATAATGCGTTCTTTTGGTTTTAAATAAAACCCAAAGAATCTTTAGTTTCCGTGCTAAAAGCAGAAACAGCTGAAGGTTCAGATAGTTACTGTCTTTTTTCGCTCTAACTTGGATATTTAAGTAGTGACTGCTTCACAAATGCCGGCAAATATTCACTTTTGCAGTATCAAACTCATAAAATGAAAACAATTCCTGTAATTATGAGGATTAATGAATTGTCCTGTACAATACCAATGAAACCTGGGAGGTTTGGCAGCCTTTGACATGTGTGCCATTATATAAATAATTGTGATACATAAAATATAAATTTAAAAAATATATATATATTTGGACTATATACAAGATAAATATCTTTAAAGGCACATAATAGTGAAGAAAAAACTATATTAATATAATATATATATATTATATATATATAATAAACTTCAGACAACTTGACAGGTTCTATTTATACTTGCAAGCTGCAATTTTCAAATTCTAAGTCGTAAAAAAATCCATTGAATTCTCCCTTAAAATTACAGTTTGAAAAATCAAAGGTTCCTGATCTTAAAATCCAAAACAAATAAAATATTTGCTGTAGCTATTTGTTATGACCTTGAAAGTTGTATAGCAATCTTTTTTTATTCATTTATTTATTTACATTTGAGTGTGTCTTCTTTTTCTTTAGAAACTCTGATTGTGTTTTTCAGTGACTGGCATTTTTATTTGTGTCTTATAAATTATAAGACAATTACCTTATAATTACCTAAATTTTAATTTAATTTTAATTACCTTATAAATACATATAGGAAGTATTTTCTCCTGATTCTGTAGAACTTCTTAACAGAAATTCTACATGAACTGTGCCTTCTTTTAATGGGTAACTACGTAATTGGGCTCTTTGTTAAGGTAACAGTAGATAGTTTTTAAAACTTTAAGCTAGGGCTTAAACATAGATCTCAATGATTGTTGAGTTAGAAACTTGACCAGTTTTATATATGACACCATTCTGCAGCCCTCTGCTGGCCTAAAACCACACTTGATAGTTTTGAGGGGCGGGTATAGTGTTCTATAGAGGGTACTCTTAACTTGGTTTATGGCCGTTAGCTGTAATGCTAGCCATTGCCATTTTCAGTTTGCTGATCATCAGTAAAAAGCACAAGAAGAGGAAGAAGTTTACTTTTTCTGTTGCCATCATGGTGGAGCCTGGAAGTAAAAATAAGAGAGTAATATATTTGGAGATGAAGCAAATCATTAAAACCAGATTGAACATTAGCGCGGCCTACACTAGTTTGAGGGAGCTAAAGAATGCTACAAATTAACAGACTGATGGTGACCAAGCTTTGTTGATGCTAAACTTGTTAGTAATAATATTTTTTGCCCAACAGTGTGGATATTTTTACTTTGTAGTTAATTTTAGTTGGTTCATGTTAGTGTTATCTCGTTGTTAGCGCTAGCTACAGCAGGGTTGTTTATAACAGTTGTAATCCCACCTTCAACCAGTAGGGCGGAGGAGCAGGAAACTGCTCACAGCCTGTCACACCAGTAATAATCTAAACAAGATCTGTTCCATGTTTACACACATTGGAAAAGGTTGCCAAAGTATCTTTTCTGACTTTGCTAATTTTCCAAATAAAAATACTGTAATTTAAACAGAAGTCAAAACAGGAAGTTGTTGCTTAAAGCTGAAGAACTATTTTCATTTCATAAGGGATACATGCCAAGTTGGATGAAATAATCAATGTCTAATCAGCATTAACAGATCAGGTCTAAATCATTCATGTCCTTTTCTAGAAGCAGCTATACCTCAGAACAAACACTCCGGTCTTGATGTCTATTTCTCATAGAAAAACACAATAAATTGAAATTATTTCCAAAACGTTTCATTCAGCTTCACAAGGCTCAGTGTTCGTTCAATTTCTAAATAAAACTACTTCAAAACTTTCTGTGGCATTAATGTACTTTATCAAAATGCAAAGGAACACAATGCTTTAGAGACGCCGTCCATCATTTGGCACTGTGGAGAGAAAGATTGAGAGCCGTTAGCAGAGGGGGTGGGGGATGCAACAGTTCCCGACAGAAAAAAAAAATACATTTCTATTATGAAAAAACTGTTTGCAAAAGCCACAGTGTGTTAAAAAAGTTCATTTCCGTTGACATAAACACTATACAGCACACTCTGATAAACATGAACACTGCGTACAGAGGCTTCACCATGCTGACGGGAGGAGATGGCAGGAAGAGGAAATGGCCGTTAAAGAACAAGTCACATGACAGGAAGAAAAAATGGCCAATAAAAACGGTCACATGACAGAAAAACGAAAGCACTAAAGACAACAGATGTAACAAAGAATTTAGTTTGAGAATTGTTATTTGTTTGGTCAAAGAGAGAAGTTTAGAGAATGCATGCATGGCATTTTGCACATGGAACAAAACTTTAAAGGGGAATACTCAAGTCTATCTTTCAAGTGCGTCCTCCATTGATTCAAGGCTTGTGTTTTTTTTTCAGTGCATGGAAAAAATTCCATATTCAAGCAATAAAAATACAAAATCAAATACTCCTTCACAGTCCAAAACATCTTCTCAAGCTTGATCAGATGCTTAATTACTGTAGACCACGTTACAGCAGGCCGATTATACCTCGGCACTGTATTGACAAATATGTCTAGCTGTCATTTTTACTATTAGTTGTACTTCACTTGAATCCAACACAGAGGAACAAGCCAAAGCAATTCCCCTTTAAAGGAGAGCGATTAGAGCCCTCCCCCTGCTGACCCCTCCCCTCTCAGACATGGGTCCGACCCTTACCTATTGTGGCGTAGGGGACCGGGTCACAACAACGCTGCCCAGATAGCTGAGATCAATCAAAAACAAATCAGGTAAGACCCTTACCCTCTTTAAAGCAGGAGCCCTATAAGCTACTTCCCTTTAAAGGCCAGTGATAGTGCATGAGCAAGTAGCTGCCTTGTGGGTTTAGCTTCGATGAGGTGGGTGTAAGGGACCCAGGAGTTTGTGCAGTGAAGAAACCCAATGGGATATAAATGTGAAAGCGCCTCAGGTAAAGCTTTATGTGTATAAAGCAACAAATCTCCAATCTTTGTCGTATAAAATCTATGTATAGGTTCTTAAAATTTGCAAAGGGTCTAAAAATCTGTGTAAGATGTTTAAAATCTATAACCAGGGTTTAACATCAATTTAAGTGATTTAGAATCTATGTACAGGGTTTAAACATCTATGTAAGGGGTTTAAAATCTATGTTCAGGATTCAACATCAATTTAAGCAGTTTTGAATCTATGTACAAGGTTGAAACATCTATGTAAGGGCTTTAAAATCTGTGCACAGTATTTTAACATATGTTTGAAAACTTTAAAGAAGTCCTTCACTGACACCATTTTTACTTATTATTTTTGAGAATGATAGGTCACTCTTGAGTAAAACATGTAGGCTGAACATGAAAATTATGTCCTACGCCTATCTTTTGCATTAGCTTCTGATAGAAAATAGATGGAAAAATGCTAGATTCAGAAAAGCCTGACAGCTCTACGTCACGTTGTCACTTAACATTCATGAGCTCACCCATCTTGACTCACGACGGGGAAGGCTGTTGTTGTTTTAGTGTCCAGGAATAAGCAGAAAACATCCGACTAGTAAGCTACTCTACAACACAGCAGACGCTCCTCCATGCTTGTGTTATTTGTGGAAATAAAACATCCACGTTGCAAGTCAGTGGTAGAGTCATGTTTCTGGTAGCCAAGGCGAGATGTCCAAATATCAGCAAACAAATCTCCAAATCCTGCCAGCTGAAGCTACTTTCTCCTCTGGCTGAAATCTCTATGTTGAAACAGGCGCACCAGAGCTTTTTTCCCCAGAGTACGTCTTACAAGGCGTTCATTCCCACTTTAGAGCTCCGGGAGTTGATGTCACTTCTCCCGGCATGCAACAGTTCAAATCAAAACGGCGCCATACTGACAGGCAGAAGCCCGCAGCTGAACTATTTGTTATTGTCAGAAAACTCAATCAAACGGAAAATATGGTAGATTCCTGTTGTGCCCCAGGATGCAGAACAGACGCGGACGACATAAGGAATGAGCCATCTACAGGATTCCCCAAGATCCGGAGCACCGCAAACGTTGGATCATTGTAATAAAACGCGCTAGTGACCGGGCGAAAATGAAGCTGTGGGATCCTGAGAGTAAAGCGACCACTTCATATCAGGTACTTAACCCGTTTCCTCAACTGTGTATGGTGTTTATTTTAAATGCTTTTATTACGATTCTTAGTGGGCTTCCTAAACTTATTTTGGCGTGGCTTTTTCTGTCTTATTACTCATAGCAACAAGTAAACGTCACGTAAAACGTTGCCTCGTGAGTTCTGCGTGCTGCCGTTTACGTGTTTTATGATCACAGCAATTAACCGGCTAAGCTGTATTTAATTTTTAAGCAATGGTTGATCAATTGTCAGATCACACATAAAAAGCACTTTGGATTGCTATTATCTGTCTCACCGAGTCAGATCTCAGACAGATCCTGAGACGCTCCTGCCTGAAATATTTATTTTATTCCCAGAAAAAAACCAGACTAGTGATTTCTCTTGGCGTTCAGTTTATACATTCAAACAGCACAGCACTCTATTTAAACTACTTACATGTAAATCTATGTTATTTGTCCATCCATTCATTTTCATCCGCTTATCCGGAGTCGGGTTGCGGGGGCAGTAGTCTACGTCGAGAGGCCCAGACTTCCCTCTCCCCAGCCACTTGGGCCAGCTCCTCCGGGGGAATCCCAAGGCGTTCCCCGGCCAGGTCCGGTAAGAGGTCCGTTCCGACAGCTTCTGACATTTTTAAAAAGTATCCCAGGGGCACGGTAAGGGTCGGAGATGTTTAGTCTATTTAATTTCTGACTATATAAAACGATTTTATCGGTTTTAAAGTGTGAAGTAAACTCCGACGAAGTAAAATCCAAGCCGATCCCGTTCATTTTGTTTACCTTTGTTGCCTGTCAAAATGGCGTCTACTCTCTGAGAGTCACGTGACGTCCAGAGCTCTATAGATTACTGCAAATGAGTGAAGGACCTCTTTAAAATCTACGCACAGGGTTTGAACATTTGTGTGCAGAGTTTGGTCTTCATCGTCAGATCCATTAAGGAATTACATTTCAACCTAAAAGCTAAAAAAGACCAATCAAATGTCTGGCCTGCTGCTAATTTATCAAACTAAATTAAATCTGGATGCAACTTTAACCTTGACAGTTTTCAAATCTGATTTATAAATGGATTTAAACACAAGTATATATTTGTATCATTTTACAGTTGACTTACACACTTTAAAAAGTATGTAAATTAGGTTTTAATGTGAAAATACATTAAAAACAAGAACCCTACAACTTATTCAAAATGAGCACATGCCATTCAATTTTCTGTTTCATTTTTATAAACAGAAATTGTGCTAAATGCTGTTACATGCTCTCTGCATGTTAAAGTAAATATGCATCCTAATTACTTCTAAAATGGAAACACCAAAGTAATAGTGGGGAGAAATACTACTAATATTTGGAAAAGAGAACAGATGAGGAGACAAGGCTCCTGCTGAAAAAAATAAACATCTAATCGCTACTGGACTGGATCACCTACCCTGAGGCTGATATCTGGAGCTGGGAGGGCTCTGAAGGTAGCATTTCCTCCTCTGTCCTTCTCTGGGATGGCCTCTGCCCAAAAACATCCCTGCCTTCTGGAGGAGGAGATGGGGATTGGGAAGGGTAACTGGCTGCAGTGGAGGCATAGGACATGTGGTAACTGGGGCTGGGCTGCTTGGCACCCTGGCTCTGAGTGGGAGAGGTGGTCAGGGAGGACCTTCGAGAGAAACTGACTGTGGCCGTGGGCTGCAGGGTGATCTCAGGCATCTCCAGAGACCTAGAGGTGCGGAGGATGCTGGGACGTGGAGGGGGCCGCACTAGAATATCTGGGGAACCCGGCTGGGTGCTAAGGGGGCTTTGGGAGAGTGGAGAAAGACGGGAGGGTTGGAGTACTAAGGGGGGTAGGCTGGGGTCTGCCCGGCGCCCTGCCCTCGGGCTGAGCCAGGACTGAGGGCTACTGCTGGGGGCTGTGCTTGGGCTCCCTGCACGGGCTGCCGGGTCAGGGTAAGGCAACACTGGTACACCCACACCGTGGGCCGTGTGTCTGAGCTGGCCGAGACTCTGGGCCTGTTGCATAGCTAAACGCCTAACCGGAGGCCCTGGAGTCCTGTCTCTGCCTGGTGGAGCCACAGGGACCTCCAGCTGCAGGAGTCCAGGGCTCGATGGATCCTTTAGGGATGAAAGGTGTAGGCGACTAGGGGGAAGAGAGTGCGGGGGGTAAGGGGGCGGGTCAGGGAGGTCCTGGGGATGATGATTTAAAGGATGGTGAGGCGGGTATATGAACCGGGGGCCTTCAAGACCCAGGAATGGTAACTCATGAGGCTGCCAGCTTTCAGATGAGCGAGGAGGAGGGCTGTGAGTGTGAGACAGAGAATGGCCAGAGGCAGTGTACTGATGGTGCTCCATTTCTCCACTCTCCTCAGGAATGGAGGGGTAACCAAAAGGCCCCTCCGCGGTGCCTGGGGGTGAGGACAAAGCGGAGCTACGTGGGCTGATGTCAGGCATGTAGAATGGTGGTGGAATCCCTGATTCAATACGACTGCCTAGATAGCCATAGAACGGGCCCTGGGGGAAGCCCCTGTAGCGGGAGGACGGGGCCTGCCCTGAGGCGTGAAGAGCACTGCCCTCTGCAAAGCTCATACCTTCCATGGGTCTGTGTAGGCGGGGGCTGTAGGTGGGGGGCTGCGTTGACTCCAGGCTGGAGGATGTTGGGGAGAGTTGGGGCCTCAGCGTGGGCATGATGGGTGGCAGAGGCCCGGGGTCAAAATCATTCTCCTCATCAGACTGCCGGAACTCAGGGTACAAGTCAGACTCCTCTGCGAAGGGGAAGCCCTGGATTCGGCGGGGAGGTGGGCTGGCCTCCATAATGAAGCGGCCATCGGGGCCTCGGCTTATCAGCTCAATGGGCGTGGTGACCTCAGCCTCATGTTTGGACACACTGTATTTCTTGCTGGCTATGGCACGCTTGGTTTTCTTGTAGAAGGAAAGCTCTTTGTCTTTTTCTTTTAGAGGGCTGGGCAGCTTTCTGACGTAGAGGCCTGGACCGTGGGAACCCTCCGACGAAAGAGAGCGGGGTCGAGATGGAGGGGAGCTCTCTGGACTTATCTTCCCTGATGATAACCTAAAAGAAAATGCAGGCACAAGGTGCTGAAAACCCAAAAGCAGAATGGTTTGAGTATTGAAAACCAAATACTGTAAATCAGTAAGCATGATTGCAGGTTTTACAGAGATGACACATTACAAAAGCCACAAAGCACTCAGTCAGAGCGGCCACAATGAACTACGTTATGAAATGACCAGCTCACGGGGACAGCCACATCCTTATAGGGATTCAGCTGATGAATCAAGCTATCGCGATGGGAGGAGAGAAGGACCAACAAGGTAACCATGACAACCGTATCACAGATCTACTGAATCTATATCTTCTTGGGCAGACGTGAGACCAAGTTCCTAAATGGTTATGAGAGAAAAGCAGATGACGTCTAACCAGGCCTCATTTGCCCACACCAGGAGCAGCATACTCGACATCTACTGCACATGGTCAAAAAATACTTCAGAAATACCGTTATACCCATGCAAAATTTTGCTCGGTGGTGTGAATTTTCAATGAACCAATAGGTTTGCTCTGGCTGTATAGAAGAGAGAAGGGTGATATTTGCCATTTTATAAACATTTCTAAGTCTAAGAATACATTTTAATGTTTAGCTTCCAACAAGCTTCCAGATCTCAATTAGAGCCTCATTACATTTTATTCTGTGTGACTGTCTGAGTTTTTTTCTCCAGAAAACATAAGTTTGGGTCTGAAACAAATGAGTATTTCACCTTTTGATGCTAAAAAACTGTTTATTTATTTATTTAAACGATTTGTTTTTTCACCAATGGGCCATGACCGCTATAGTAGCCAAGAAGAGGCACAACACACATTTACCTCTAGTGTTTTGGGGTTTTACGGCTAACATAGTTTGAGAGTAGGTGGAAGATGCTTAGTTTGTGGCAATTGTCACACTTCGCTGTCATGTTTTCCCAGAGTTGTTGGTACCATGTTCTGAAGTAATATGTCTTAGAGAGAAAGAATGGAATTGTGCAAAAAAAAAAAAAAAAAAAAAGAACAAACTAAAAGATCTTGCCAGTGGGGTATACTCCAGAGAGCATCCAAGCCTTGGTTCTCATCAGCCAGCACAAGCCTATTGGTCTAATAAAGATTCACGAGTAACATCAAAATTTATGATGGGTATGAACTTTTTTGACCTTTATTATGAATTTTAATTAATGCATATACACAGTACCGGAGTGTCCATGCAACGCAGCTAATGCAACTTTTCTCCGTGTGTGAAGGTCTGTGCATGCATGCCAGGGATAGGTTCCACTACACTAAAGGTTACAATCGTTAGCTGATTGTTTCTATGCAATGCATTAAACCATGCAGCCAAGCCAGTGCAGTGCAGCACACTCTGTAATTTGGTGCAGGCAGGCACTCACAAGGGGCTGGCCGGTGGGGGCAAGAAACTGCTCCTGGCAGGCTCGTCCCAGCAGGGCTCTACCCCTGGCAAGGGGGTGAGAGGAGGCCTGCGATGGGAGACAAACGACACGGGCCTGGTTCATCTCCAACTATGCTAAGTGCAGGAAGGACAGAGTCTGAACTAGCTGACCTGCCTTCATTATTACGTAAAATACAGAAACGTGACATGACTAATGGTTTTCATGTAAATTCATGAACCATTCAATCTGGGATGAGATTGACACAGAATATTATCAAAATGAGGATCTGTAGAGATTGCAGTGCAGTCACACGTGTACACAATATACTATTTAACAAACACGCGCACACAGAGCTGTACAAGAAACAAGAACATTAAACACTGACAGTCATGCAGTGAGCAGACAGCGTTTCAGGTTAAAGAATACAGATGGGTCAAGAATCAATACACACACACAGCAGCTCTGGGTAATGAGCTTTAAATGCTGACTCTGCTGCTTTGAATTCTGCTACATTTGCCCGTGATCTGCTAGAGATTGCCGCTGTACATGTTCTTCAACACCACGCAGAAACTTCCTGGTAATTTAAATCGAGTGTAAATAAATACATTGGTTTGTTACGTACGGTAGTAGAAGTTTGGTAAAAGGTGTAAGAGAAGATGAACATTAGAAGGCACCTCTGGCAGACTGCAGGAGCTCTGACATGTCTTTACTTACGGTGACTCAATGCTTTTCCTGAAGTGTGTCACCGACAAGGGAGGATCTGAGAGAACAAACATGGTCAGTTTAGCATTTCCTTTAGAAGGTAGCTACTTGGATAAATGATTGAAGGAAAATCCCACGCCTAAGTGAAATGTAGTCTGTTGCACAGAGTTAGATAAGTGGGTACAAAGCATTTTGTAACCAGCCCAGCGCTCCTCCTAATCTGCCAGAACTCCGTTATCCTTAGCTTAGCATGAGCAATGTCAGTGAATGGTAACAGTTAGCATTTCGTGTGAAAAAGTCATAATAATGATCCTTATTGTGCTTGGTGGCCTCAAAAATCATATCTACTGCAAACGACAATAATAAGTAACACAAAGAAATCGACGATTTACATCAGATTAGATTACGACAAAGCACCATTGTATGCCACCGCTGAAAGGACATCACGCAGTGGCGTGACGTCTGGCAGACTCACCTCCAGGTTTGCTGTACAGCATTTACAACATTTAACCCTAATGACAGTAAACAGCGAGTTTGGGGGCATCATGCGGCGGCTTACAGCTGCATTTTGTCCTAAAGTAGTCCCAAGTCAAACTAGCTTCTGTAAATCCTTCTTGTTGCTTATTATTTTTATTTGCAGTTGAAATGATTAATAAGGTCACCAAGAAAAAGTAGGATCATGACCTTTTTACACAAAACGCTAACTGTTACCATTCACTTACATCGTTTATGCTAAGCTAAAGCTAACAGAACACTGCCAGAGTAGGAGAATGACTGGACTATGCTACAAAATGTTTTCTTCAATTAGCTAACTCTAGGGAACATGGCAACAGACTAAATTTCACTTAGGGGTGGAATGTCCCTTTAAGGCAGGGCCATTAAAGTTCGGGCCTCGCGGGCCGGTATCCAGCACGTTTTAGTGGTTTCTCTGGTCCAACACACTAGATTCAGTGGTTGAGTCACCTGTGCGGCAGCTCATCAGGATCCGCAGAAGCCTGTTAATCACCTGCTGATTAAAATCAGGTGTGTGGAAGCAGGGTTAAAACTAAAACGCGTTGGTATTTGGCCATCGAGGCCCAGAACTGAATAGCCCTGCACACCATCAAGCAAGATATTGACTAGAAATCGACTTGAAGCTGTACAGTAGCCTTGGGTTCGGTTTGCTCTTGGCCTGTGGGTCAGTTTAGTTACCCATCAATGGTTAAATTGAACTTCCTCTTAAAGAAAAGGGCCAACCTGGTTTACGCTTGAGTTTCCGACGGTGTTGCTTATTAACAAAGCAAGCTGCTAAAGTGCTGAATAGCACTGCTGCTGCAAGAAAACAGATGGTTGCCACGACACCTGCCACGACAGGTCGCGCCAGCCCTTCCTCAGGCAACTCTGCTGCGGGGAAGGGGTCTGCTCGGACACAGAGGGGGGAGGTGGGGTGCAAAATGACTCAAGAAAGGCAAAAAAGGTAATAAATTCACTTGTGTCTGTGTAAATATACTCACCGGTGCTGGATACTCCCACTACGTTGCTGCTCTCACTGATCAGATCATCCATAACTGCCATCACCCGAAACTCATACCAGGACTCCTGTCAGAGGAAATGCACTCTTTCAATTGGGTAATGCATAATTGATTAGTCTGAAGGGAAATGATAGGAAATAGTATATTTTTTTATGTTTAAAGGTGTTGAACACTTTAATCATTACATTTGCAGTGGTCTCCAGTATAGATGAATGCCTTGCAAGTCATACTTGGGGGGGGGGGGGTAGAAGCGCCTGGTTCAGTATGAACAAGGGAGCGGCGGCAGACAGCACGTTTTTGGTCTTATTTCCTGGTATTTGGATATTTTGCCTCAGATTGAAAAACAGCAACGTGATTCTACCACCGGCTCCGTTTGCTCTTTGACGTGGATGTTTTAGCTCCACAGATAACTCAAGCCTTGAGGAGCCTCTGCAATGTGGTTGAGTTGTTAATGCTAATAGTTAGCATCTGCTAGCTGAGACATTCAATGCTGTGTCCTGGACGCTAAAACAACAGCAGCCTTCCCTGTCGTGAGCCAAGATGGGTGACTCCAAGCGACCGCTCGGCGGAGAGCGGCCGTGCTTTTCAAATCCTAGCATTTAAATGTGTTTTTTCTATCAAAAAGCTAAAGCAGGCGATAGGTGTAGGAGACTATTTTCATGTTCAGCCTGCATTAAAAACTCAGGGTGACTGATTATAATCAGAAATAATCGTTAAAAACGTTTTTTCAGCGTTTCACACCTTTAAAAGATGAGTCTTAAATAACACATCCAACTGACCTGAACAAGGTCCCTTGCTATTAGTTCGGTCTCGGTGGACGGGATCAAGTCATCCAGAACTTCCCACTTCTCCCCGAGGCGGAATTCCATGATGTAGCGGTCGATGGGTGAGGAGTGGTTTGCTGGAGGAAGCCATGTGAGGAGGACACCGTGCTGCGTGCGGTTGGCTGTGAGGCACCGTGGTGGAGTAAGAAGCACCAGTGGTTCAGCGGTACCCAGGGGAGTGCCTGTGGACCAGATCGGACCCTTATGAAGTCTATTTGTTCCAATCGGAGTCTTTTAATTCAAAATAATTCGTAGACATTTATTATGAATGTCAGTGTTTCCCTGTAACCGCTGCTGCTGCTGGAACAACACAACACACAGAAGAGATCTCATTGTTTGTTGCCCTGCATTGTTGGGAGGTAATCTGAGTGTGAAATTGGGTCAGAAATGTTCAGGCCTCATTTAACATTTTCAAATAAAAGAGAAGCTTTCTGTCATGGTTTGTGCTGAGCTAAACTGGTTTTGTTTTCCTCTGAGTGCTGTCTGCAGGTGGGCGTGTCCTGGAGAGCACAGCTGTTGCTGTTCAGCCCATCAGTGGTCAGGGGATTTAAGGAGCGGCGTGACAACTCACCAGTGATGGATGATACTCAGGCCTAGTCCACACGTAGCCGTTTTTTTTAAACGAATATCCGCCCCTCCAAAAACTTGCATCCACACCACCTCGTTTAAAAAAAAACTCTGTCCACACGTACCCGGATAAATACGTTGTTAAGGACATGCCAGACCTGTAGGCGGCAGTACTTCCCCCGTTCTTAACCTCGTCCTTCGTCTGTGGTCTTCCGCAAGGAGCAGTAATTCCTCTTGCAAAAACAAACAAGCAAAAAGCGCTTGGACAATTGATAAAGCGAGCGCAGCTCTGAGGGCATCCATGCTGTCGGCTAGTGTAAACACAGGTCGCACACGTGATGTCAGCATTTTTTTGTCGCGGAAAGTGACGTTGCGGACCTTAAAACTCCGGTTTTGTCTGTCCACACGCAGACACCCAAAACGGAGAAAAGTATCTACGTTTTGGCAGATCCCCGGCTACGTGTGGACAGGGCTTCAGTCTTGGGTAGTTCTAGCCACTACCAGTCCTAGCTCTTGTCGTCTCAGAATATATTTTTGTCTTTTTGTATCCTGACCCCGCGTTTATCTGATATGTTCTCCTGACCCATCCAGATTTCCCTCACCTGCAAAGAACATCACACTTCAATAACTTGGGATTCACTCAAGCCTTCAGCCACATCGTTCACCTCTGACCACCAGCTCCCCACCACCCACCTGCTCACCTGGACACACCTGCAGCCAACTCCCTGTGCTCAGCTCCCAGCCTTGGTCTCTCGATCTCCCGCTCAGCCAGACCTGACCTGCCTCCCTCCTTGGCTTCCCAACTTCCTGAAGACCAACACCCCAAAACTCCTCAACCCTCTGGATCTCCGTTTTTTTCTCTCCTCCACAAAGACTAATAAAATACATAGAAACTTTTACTTACCTCTGGTTCTGTGGTGATTCTTCATGTCATGGTTCAAAAAACTACCCTCTAACATGACACTTTCTTTGTCACCAGATCCCCATTTGCCCTCCAAAAACAAAACTTATCACACCAAATCACTGATTCTTTAATCATTTATTTTATGAGATTTAAAACTACTTTCTTTTCTTAGTATTCTATTTGAAAGTATTGTAAAGTGGAACTAATAGCACTGACAATAGCTCTTGCGTTTGGTTTATTGGCACTCATAAACGGACTGGCATCATTAATAATATGATTAATAACCACGCCTGCATGTTTGTTGTATTGTAAATCTTAAAAACCAAAATGCTTCTAAAAACAATGTCAGAAACTCTTTTTCTAAATCAGTCAACCAACAAAATTAAGAACATCTGAGCCATCTCTGAAAATTGCAGAAATCAATGAAAGACATGGTCGTACCCTGTGCTGTGGTATTATGTAGACAATTGTGTCTTTTTTGTTGTTGTTGTTGTTGAGCCTGTCCCATAGAGCCACATGCAATTTGATTTGAGCGCAGTTCTGCATTAGCCAATAGCGTTCCGCTTACATACAGACGTCAATCATAGATCATGCAGGATAGACGACGTACCTTGACACATTTCTTATGGACAATGGACATCGTATGGTGCGAGGTAGGCAACAGCATCAAGAGTCTTGCCTAAGGGCCCACACTGGATTTTGGTATTTTTTGCCCCAAACCAGTTTTAAACCCAGGGCCCCAATGTCGAACAGAGGAGGAGACGCTGGAAATACCATCATGGGAGGACAAACCCCTACATGGGATGTACCACTGACAGATAACTGAAGTGGCTGATATCAAGAAATCCTACCAATGGCTAGAAAGAGCTGGTCTGAAGAAGAGCACAGAGGCTCTCATCATGGCTGCACAGGAACAGGCCCTGAACACCAGAGCAACAGAGGCCAAGATCTACCACACCAGACAAGACCCAAGGTGAAGGCTATGCAAAGAGGCCCCTGAGACAATCCACCACATGACTGCAGGGTGTACGATGCTGGCAGGGAAAGTGGCTGGTATCGTGTACAGAACCATCTGTGCAGAGTATGGACTGGAAGCCCCAAGATCAAAGTGGGTAATACCACTAAGGTGGTTGAGAATGAGAGAGCCAAGCTCCTGTGGGACTTCCAGATCCAGACTGACAAAATGGTGATGGAGAACCAACCGGACATTGTGGTGGTGGACAAACAATAGAGGACAGCCATTGTCGTTGATGTGGTGATACCCAGTGATGGCAGCATCAGGAAAAAGGAGCACGAGAAACTAGAGAAGTACCAGAGCCTGAAAGAAGAACCTAAGAAAGCCTGGAGAGTGGAGACATCAGTGATATCCGTGGCCATCAGGGCAGTAACCCCAAACTGGAGGAGTGGCTAAAGCAGATCCCAGCAAAAACAGACATCTCAGTCCAGAAAAGTGCCATTCTAGGAACAGCTAAGATACTGCAGAACCCTCAAGCTCCCAGGCCTCTGGTAGAGGACCCGAGCTTGGAAGGATGAGACCACTCACTGAGGGTGAGATGGGAATTAAACAGCACAAGAAGAGAATGCTAATTGTAAAACAAATTGTTTTAGCGTTGTTTGCTGGCTTAAGAGGTGCAGGTCCATGAACAAGAGGCGTTGCTTTTGGGCATAAATAGGAAAGGGGGTGGGAACAGCTTGAGGTGCGATACATTGTTCAGCCTCTAGATCACGTGTCACACACAAGGCCCGCATTTTTATGTGGCCCACGAGAAAATTATCAAAACTATCTTAAAACTGACCCACTGGCCGATTTTACCGCAACAACTACAACCCCCATGATGCTTTGCGGCGTTAGCGCAGAGCCGAAGCGCCCCCTCCTTTGTGTTTTTTTCCAGCATCTGCTGCTGGTGTCTGCAGCTCCTCTGTCTCAGACAAACTAAACACTCCTCTCACTCAGCGCCGAGTTCACTCAGCTATTTGCCGACGTTGAAGCCCAGAAACGGAGATTTTAACCGCTCAGTAATGTGTTCACGACTGAAAGAGAAAGTTTTCCAACTAACTTCCAGACAGAGCTGATATAACTCCAGCGAGCAGCGACACGCTCAAACCAGCACGGCTCTGTGGTTGCTGTCGTGTTTCCTCCCCGACACACAACAACGTGGTCAAGCTGCTCAGACATGTTCATCAGCACAAACCTATGTGAGCTCCTGTTGTCATCTAATGTTGTCATTATTATGATGAAGATGAACAAAACAACAGGAGTCTCCTCCTCAGCTCAGATCAACCCCATGATGCAGGTATGTGGCTGGAACAGGTGAGCATCACAGTAAACCAGTGGAGCAAACTGAGCTTTAAATATGTTGGTTTTATGCTCTTTTTCTGCTCCAAAACATGAAAGTTAACAAGTGAGATGTTGCATTTTCATTTAAGATAAAATGATTTTTTTATTTTGTTGTTGGCCTGTGAGGAAAGATTTAACCTACAGTAAACAGGAAGTGGAAAGGCTGCAGATAGATGAATAGAATAGAAAATCCCTTTATTGTTCCTCAGTGGGGAAAGCTAGACGTCACCGCAGCGATGACACGTATTACAGGAGAAAAAAAGGAGAATAAAAAATAAGAAAAATGAATAAACAACAAGAAAACATAAATCCTGAATAGATTTTAAAATTCTGAATATACCACAAGTAATGAATACCACTGTTGTGTTTTATTTGAAATGGACTTGCTCGTGTGTAATTTGGTTATTCCACATTCAGTGTTAATGCAAAAATAAGTTTGTTTCCAAATTACAAGGTTCAAAATTGCAAATATGTTGATAAAGAAAACGTTCAAATTTGCCGTCACTTTTTCAAAAAATATTAAGTTTGGCCCGCGACTCCGTCCCAGATTTTCATTTCGGCCCGGTGTGAATTTGAGTTTGACACCCCTGCTCTAGATGGAGCTATAAGATTAAAAAAACAAAACAGACTGGAGCTTTAAATAGCAAAAACAACAATTAGGGATGTATGATGTTATAGGTCTACCATCAAAGAGATGCCCACTAGAAAATGTTACTTATTCCCTCGCTGTGCTTTATTCTTTCACCTTAATCTAACTGCTGAAATGTGTCCTCAGCCTTTATTCCTTTCTAGCGGAAAGATTCATCACTAAATCAAACACATCAGCTGTGTTCAAGACCTAAAACATGCCAGAAATGTGCTGGAAATCATTCATCTTAATGATTACTTTTAGTTTATGCTGCATTAAGCATCTGTTTAGGACATTAACAGAAAGTCTTAACAGTTTAAAAATAATCCCTTTAGGCTTGACAAAAGACACACAGCTATTAAAAATGCATTGACTCACTATGATTGTAGTAAATGAACGTATAAAAAATGTACTCCTTAAATGTTTGCAGCTGAAAAACAATATGTAATGAGATTATTTTTGTAAATGCTCCAACCAGATCAAACTTATGCAAGAACGTTGAATTCTTCAACGCGCCCGACAGTTTTCTAAAATTATACTCAGAGCTTGTAAAAGCAGCTCAGTGGTGGAACAACCTTTGATCGTCTGCAGCACCCACCTGCAGTGGTGACTGTCACAACTTCACTGAATGGGCCCGTGCCCAGTTTGTTTTGAGCCAACACACTGAACTGGTACTCCGTCCCAGGCTCCAGCCCTGGCACCACCAACCAGGTCTGAGCACCAGAAACTGGCATTGAATGCCAGTCATGAGGACCATAGTCTGTTCTCTTTGACCTGCAAAAATAAAATGAGATAATATGAACTTGGAAATTAATATTTAGGTTTAAATATGTCAAAAAGTAGTGCAGCAGGGTTACTCCATTCATTTGTCTTCCAATCTGCTGTATTTACAGAGTATTTCTATCTGCCACCATCTGTCTATAATATTCATAACCTTTTGCTAAAAAAAGAGCTTTAAATCTATTCAATATATTTTACAAATGATATTTATTTGTACCTGCTGCTTTCATGTCTTTTCTTTCCTTTAGACTTATTCAAAGGAAACAAAAAAAGTGCGATACAGAGTGGGATGTTATTTTAGGGACACGCCATTGCACTCCCAGAATTCAGCATGAATTCTGCTCATGAACATGAATGTTCCACAAAATCTGCTCGCTGCTGAGCTCTAGTTTATTTTCACAAGCACAGAAAGGTGTCTTCTGTGATAAACTCCCAGGATGTTTCCACATCTGCACACAGCTAAGGTAAGAGTACTCACACTGGACCGTACCACACAGAGAAAGTCTGTTCGAAGCCGCCATCGTAACCTGGTTCCCAGGACACATTAGCAGAAGTCGTAGAGGGTAACACGTGGATGTTGCCAGGAGCATGCGGGCTGGTGCCTGAATCACACAGATGATAAATGATAAATGACCTGTACTTGTATAGCGCCTCTCAGAGTAAGGACTCCAAAGCGCTTTACACTACAGTGTATCATCCATCCATTCACACACACATTCACACACTGATGGTGATGAGCTACGATGTAGCTACAGCTGCCCTGGGGCGTACTGCAGAGGTGAGGCTGCCAAGCACAGGCGCCACCGGTCCCTCCGACCACCACCAGCAGGCAAGGTGGGTTAAGTGTCTTGCCCAAGGACACAACAGCAGAATTCTCTGTCCAGAGCCGGGATCGAACCTGCAACCTTCCGATTACTGGACAACCCGCTCAACCTGTTGAGCTACTGCTGCCCCTAATGGAGTAGAATGACACGTAGAAAGTCCCTTTTCTTTTGCAGCATGTTTTTATTCAGTTCCCTCTTGGTATGCGAGGATGCTGTGAGCATCAGCTCAGCTCATTCTTCATATTTGGACATCTGTCTCTGATTGGCAACAGGACTCTTCTACTGCTTCCATTCTCTCTGCAAAGCTCTGTGCTGTTGATGTTTTATCTTTGGAGTTGCTAATGCTAACGTTTAGCTTATACTAGCCAAGACATGCTCTGCTCTCTCCTGTAATCAAAAGTCAGAGATGGAAAGAGTACTAAAATTTCCTACTTAAGTATGAGTACAAATACTTTGATAATTTTTTACTCAAGTACAAGTAAAAGTACTTTCCTAAATCTTTACTCAAATAAAAGTAAAAAGTGTCGTAAATAAAATGTACTCAAAGTAAAAGTTACTTAGTTACATTTTTGTCAGCGTAAGGATGGCTACATCTAAGTAGTAAAAAAACACAACGCAGGTTCACAATTCGCTCGTGTGTGTGTGTGTGTGTGCGTGTTAATGGTGCTCGTGCAGGTGTCTTTCTGTTCCGATGCTGCTACACATAGTATTTTTAATTTATTAAGCCTACAATTTATTTTTACTCAGTAACGGATATGATTTCAAATGTAGCGAATTACAATTCTTTTTAAAAAACTTAGTCAAGTAAAAGTAAAAGTACAGATTTTAAAAACGACTTCAAAAGTATAAATACACAAAAAAGCTACTCAATTACAGTAATGTGAGTAAATGTAATTTGTTACTTTCCACCTCTGGCAAAAGTCAACAAGTCAATGTGACGTAGATCTGAGTGGCTTTTTCTGACCACAGCGTTTTCCCATTTGGCGGACAGCGGCTAATGTGGTTAATGGGGGTAGAAGACTAAAGTGATTCGTTGTATTTCAAAAATAAAAAGTAAAAATGTTTTTTAGTGAACCTGCTCTATGAAGTTACTCACCATTAAACTGGGTCAGAAATATAAAAGTGTAGGAACAATGACGAAAGAACATTTCAATGCTAATAGAGAGCCTAAGTCACGCCCATCTATTTCCGGACCACGGGTCCCCGGAAGAACGAAAAAATGAATGCTAGTCAACGGGGCTAAAACTGCTATTTTCTAATTCCGCTTGTTTTGTGCCATGGATTTCACATATGGCTGTGAATTTTAAATACGCACTTTGATACCAAGAACTTGCTTGTTTTTGAACGGGGGGAACGTTATTTTAGGTTTTGTGTGAAGGTAAGTCCAGGACTACAAATGCGCATCACCAAAGTGACATCATCAAACCAGACACGGAGAAAAAAAGAGGGAAAATGGCTGCAAGTACAGCACACTTCAAATCCTTCCTTCAGGAGGAAAAAAAACGTTCTTTTTTTTTTTCATTCTTCCGGGGACCCATGAGCCGACTGGAAAGGGACGAGACTTAGGCTCCCTATAGTCTGTTTTGACAATACTCTTCAATCATAACTGATGCACAAAATTTTAAACGTTCGTTTTATTTTTTCCAGTATTCATCATAAGGATTATATCTGATTGATTCCAGCTGATTACAGTGATCCCTGCTACTTCGCGGTTCGTTTATCGCGGATTCACAACTTCATGGATTTTTTCTTTGGAGCCTTATTCAAGAGAAATTCGCCGATTCGTGGTATTTTTCACCGATTCGCGGCATTTTTCTATGCGAAATGTCAAGAAATTCCAGTTTTTTTCATCAATTTCATCATAAAATGCACTTTTTGTAATAAAACTATAAAAAAACCAAGTAAAATATTTTTTTCTTGAGTTTTACCCACAAAAAGAGAATGTGATCATACGATAATTCAATATAGTACTGTACTGTAAATATGGTGTCCCTACTTCGCGGATTTTCACCTATCGCGGCCAGGTCTGGAACGCATCTACCGCGATAAACGAGGGATCACTGTAAACCCAATCCCAAACGTAGATCAACGGAAACTCCAGTTATCAAGACAACCTAAAAGCAAAGGAGACGTTACTAGTTGTGAAAATGTGGTTTGGATAATTTGCTGTTTGTACATGTCCTTGCGAATATGCAGAAGCAGCTCTAAAAAGCAGCTTTTGTTGATTCCTGCTTACTTCTGTCAATGCCTCGGTCGAACAGACAAAAGCTGCAGGAAGCGTTCCGGTAGAGCGATGCATACCACAAACTCTACAGATTCAGCCTCAACATTACCTGTTTAAAGCTGTTGCAGATAAGATCAAAGAATTTTAATTATGCCCAAGAGGAAATTGGATGGAAAGTAAGAGCTTGAAGGGTGAGGGTCACTTCGACTTGATTCAAATGACTCAAACCGCACAAAACAGTGAGATTACGATGAACTTGTAGAAACTAGAGAGGTCGTTATTTGTGAGAATAAGCTGTACCGATGACTAGGATGCGCGTGCTGGCAGTGATGCTTGTGACCACATTGGTGGCTACACACTCCCACTCTCCATGGTCCTCCTTGCTGAGGGAGAGGAACTGTAAGCTGCCGCTGGGTAGGATGTTATGCTTGCTCCTGCTCGGCTTTCCCACCTTCAGTTGGCATAAAAAAAGGAGTCGTAATGGTTAGGTGGTAAGAAAACACGTGCATGACGAGTAAAGAAACGTGCTAATCTGCTTTACCTTTCTCCAGGTGATAGTTGGTATGTCAGGGTCTCCAGAAGCAGCACAAGGGATTACTAGCTCTCTCCCTGCCTCCTGACGGTACTCCCCCCCAGGCCTTACGTTAAAATAAGGGGGATCCTTCATAAACACACACACACACACACACACACACATTGTACAAACTGAACAGTTTGACACAACGGACTCTGAGCGGGGACCCACCTTTAGCACCAAAGTGGCAGGGGGGGACATGCCCATGGTACCCAGGGCGTTGTAAGGCACACAGGTGTAGGTGCCCAGGGAGTCCTCTGTGGCTTCTGCCACCCGGATACTTCCATCTGGCATTAAGCTCCATCCCGGGTACTACAAGACAGCTAAATGTGTTAAAAAGCTTCCCTGTGAGTGGCCGGCAGCAGCTGATTAAAATATTAGCATCTGTCACTAATCTGAGGGAAGAGCTGATTTGAATTACTTTTACAGAACACAGATCGATCAGTCACAGCAATAAAGCCCCTGACAGGAGAAGATTAGCACATTATTAATTTTGTTACAGTACAGTCTTGCTGCTGGGAGGGGCCTTGTACACGCCACCAAGCTACCCCCACATACTGATGAAGGAATGACCTAAATCATCTCAGTCCATCAGGAATCAGTTGCGTTGATTACAAATGTAATAACTTATGAGACTAAGCCGGACCTTTTCCACTCGGAGCGGGTAGCCGTCTTTTTCCCACTTCACGGATGTCACAGGTGGGTTGGCGTCCACAGGGCAGCGGATGATGCCTGGCAGTTTCCGTGGCACGTAGATGACCGGAGGCATGTTGATCACTCGGGCTGGGTCTGGACATGAAGAACGGAGAGACGTCAAAGGGGACATATTATGACTTTTTGTTAAGTTGCAATAGTTGTATGATCTATATAAAACATATTCAAAAAGTTAGTTGTACTAAATTCATCCCACAATTCGGCAGTTTTGTGCTTGAGTTTCATTACCTTCTAGAATCAGGCGTTTCGGGGCTCTGCTACTTTAAGAGAACAAGCTGGAGCTAGCCACACCCACCCACCTCCTACTCATGCT